ATGGATTCTCAGACTGAAGAGGAGGAGGAGGGAGGGAGGAGGAGGTTTAACTGAAGAGGAGGAGGAGGGAGGGAGGAGGAGGTTTAACTGAGGAGGAGGAGGGAGGGGGGAGGAGGGAGGGAGGAGGAGGAGGTTTAACTGAAGAGGAGGAGGAGGAGGAGGGAGGGGAGTAGGAGGAGGGAGGAGGAGGAGGAGGGAGGGAGTAGGAGGAGGGAGGGGGGAGGAGGAGGGAGGGGGGAGGAGGAGGAGGTGTTAACTGAGGAGGAGTAGGGAGGGGGGAGGAGGAGGAGGAGGGAGGGAGTAGGAGGAGGGGGGGGGGGGAGGAGGGAGGGGGGGGAGGAGGAGGAGGTGTTAACTGAGGAGGAGTAGGGAGGGGGGAGGAGGTTTAACTGAAGAGGAGGAGGAGGAGGAGGGAGGGAGTAGGAGGAGGGGGGCGGAGGAGGAGGAGGTTTAACTGAGGAGGAGTAGGGAGGGAGGAGGAGGGAGGGAGGAGGAGGAGGTGTTAACTGAGGAGGAGGGAGGGAGGAGGTTTAACTGAGGAGGAGGAGGGAGGAGGAGGAGGTTTAACTGAGGAAGAGGGGGGAGGGAGGAGGAGGAGGAGGGAGGGAGGAGGAGGTTTAACTGAAGAGGAGGAGGAGGAGGGAGGGAGTAGGAGGAGGGAGGGGGGAGGAGGAGGAGGTGTTAACTGAAGAGGAGGAGGAGGGAGGGAGTAGGATGAGGGAGGGCGGAGGAGGAGGAGGTTTAACTGAGGAGGAGGAGGGAAGGAGGAGGAGGAGGGAGGGAGGAGGAGGGAGGGAGGAGGAGGAGGGAGGTGTTAACTGAGGAGGAGGGAGGGAGGAGGTTTAACTGAGGAGGAGGAGGGAGGAGGTTTAACTGAGGAGGAGGGAGGGAGGAGGTTTAAAGGAGGAGGAGGAGAGGGAGGGAGGAGGAGGAGGAGGGGGAGGGAGGGAGGGGGAGGAGGTTTAACTGAGGAGGAGGAGGGAGGGAGGAGGAGGAGGAGGAGGGAGGGAGGAGGAGGAGGAGGAGGAGGGAGGGGAGGGAGGGAGGAGGTTTAACTGAGGAGGAGGAGGAGAGGGAGGGAGGAGGAGGAGGAGGGAGGGAGGGGGGGGAGGGAGGAGGTTTAACTGAGGAGGAGGAGGAGAGGGAGGGAGGAGGAGGAGGAGGGGGGGAGGGGGAGGGAGGGAGGGAGGGAGGAGGAGGAGGAGGAGAGGGAGGGAGGAGGAGGAGGGGGAGGGAGGGAGGAGGAGGAGGAGGAGGAGGAGGAGGGGGAGGGAGGGAGGGAGGAGGAGGTTTAACTGAGCAAGAGTGGGAGGAGGAGCCAATACTGTTTGATCTTATGAAAGACCAAAGTGAATGTTTTGTGAAGGATCAAAGGCAGAGAATGGATCAGAAAACTTACTTCAAAGCGACCACTGGAAGGTCCATGTCCTCAGTGTTCGTTGTACAGTCTGACAGCAGCAGCTTTCTCATTCAGTAAACAGACTTTTGTAATCGTTCAAAAGGCTCAGGATGAGACCCAGACTCAGACTCAGACTCAGACTCAGACTCAGACTCAGACTCAGACTCAGACCCAGACTCAGACTCAGACTCAGACTCAGACTCAGACCCAGACTCAGACTCAGACCCAGACTCAGACTCAGACTCAGACCCAGACTCAGACTCAGACCCAGACTCAGACTCAGACTCAGACTCAGACCCAGACCCAGGAGCATTTTGTTTGAGCAGCACAAGGCATAAAACATAAGAAACACACAAAACAATAATAATAAGTAATATGAGGCTTTCTGTGTTAAGTTTGCATGTTCTCCCTGTGTCTGTATCTTTAATGCAGGGTGTTTTGCTTGGGTTGGTCTTCATTTGAATAATGTTCCTCATAAAGTATCATTAAGCAGACAGTGTTTTGCAACCCTTTGATCCCACCCACGAGCAACATTTTTAACAAAGATCACAGAGGGAAGAAGCTGGAACACTGTCGGAAGATTCACTTCTACATCCCAGGATTCAAGCGCTCAGTAACATCCGGACATTTGTTATTCTGAGAAGTCCATTCATTGTGAGAGGTTGAAATATGGTCCCATTGACTCTGAATGTCCACCTCATTACCCAGCATGCTCTCTGCTTCCTGCTCTCATCCATCCTCTGTCCATGTTTATGATTTATTCAGCCTCTCTAACCCTCTGAACACAATCACACGCGTATTATTGGCTTTTCCAGGATAGAAAGCTGGAGATTTACTCTGCAGATGAAATTAAAATGGTTTGGATTCGTCCCCGGTGCGCGTGATGCTAGCTCTTGTGGGTTTAGGCGGTGAGTGGAGATTAGCGAAGGCAAAGGTGAAGCCGCGGACCGTCATTGACCCCTGACCCCACGAAGTCATAAAGCTGTCGTCTCTCAGAAAGAACACAATGCAATTAGGTTTGTGTGTAGCCTGAGATAAGAGGCAGCTTTAGTCCACGGGTCTCGAACCTAAAGCGGTGGAGACTCAGACACGTTACCACTAAATGTACGACAAATGCTTTGTATTTTTAAATGTCTATATTGTCACGCCACAGCTACATTAGTGCCATATATGGTCATGCCACAGCTACATTAGTGCCATATATGGTCATGCCACAGCTACATTAGTGCCATATATTGTCACGCCACAGCTACATTAGTGCCATATATGGTCATGCCACAGCTACATTAGTGCCATATATTGTCATGCCACAGCTACATTAGTGCCATATATGGTCATGCCACAGCTACATTAGTGCCATATATTGTCACGCCACAGCTACATTAGTGCCATATATGGTCATGCCACAGCTACATTAGTGCCATATATTGTCACGCCACAGCTACATTAGTGCCATATATGGTCATGCCACAGCTACATTAGTGCCATATATTGTCACGCCACAGCTACATTAGTGCCATATATGGTCATGCCACAGCTACATTAGTGCCATATATTGTCACGCCACAGCTACATTAGTGCCATATATGGTCATGCCACAGCTACATTAGTGCCATATATTGTCACGCCACAGCTACATTAGTGCCATATATGGTCATGCCACAGCTACATTAGTGCCATATATTGTCACGCCACAGCTACATTAGTGCCATATATGGTCATGCCACAGCTACATTAGTGCCATATATTGTCACGCCACAGCTACATTAGTGCCATATATGGTCATGCCACAGCTACATTAGTGCAATATATGACATTTTACTGCAAAGTCACAAACAAATGTCTATTCAAATGAGCTGAAGGCGAAGGATTGCAAAGATTCTGACTTTCATGAGGTGTAGCATAACTGTATTGGTGGAGCTGAAGTTGGCTGGATGACTCTGTGAAAGAACCTTGATGGTTACTTTGTGTTTAAGGAAGGGGGCCACATAAAATGACAAAGCGGGCCGCGTTTGGCCCAGGGGCCTTGGTTTGGACATTCCTGGTGTAGCAGTGTGTAAACATGTGGCCACAAGTGGTACTGCAGCCTCTCCCACTCTCCCTGACTCAGGTTGCCAGATATGCAGACGAATCCACGCTCCCTGACTCAGGTTGCCAGATATGCAGACGAATCCACTCTCCCTGACTCAGGTTGCCAAATATGCAGATGAATCCACTCTCCCTGACTCAGGTTGCCAGATATGCAGATGAATCCACTCTCCCTGACTCAGGTTGCCAGATATGCAGATGAATCCACGCTCCCTGACTCAGGTTGCCAGATATGCAGACGAATCCACTCTCCCTGACTCAGGTTGCCAGATATGCAGCCTCTCCCACTCTCCCTGACTCAGGTTGCCAGATATGCAGACGAATCCACTCTCCCTGACTCAGGTTGCCAGATATGCAGATGAATCCACTCTCCCTGACTCGGGTTGCCAGATATGCAGATGAATCCAGCTGGGACCATAACAGCTGAATAGACAAGAGTTTTGTCAACAACAAATCTATAACCAACACCTTTTTCACAAAGATAGAAATCCTGCTTTTATTCCTTGTTTTGTCGTTAATGATTTGAGAATCATAACGAGACCTTTTTTAGTTCTGCGCCACATGGTACTTTACCAGTGAGATTAGCTCCACATGGTACTTTACCAGTGAGATTAGCTCCACATGGTACTTTACCAGTGAGATTAGCTCCACATGGTACTTTACCAGTGAGATTAGCTCCACATGGTACTTTACCAGTGAGATTAGCTCCACATGGTGAGTTCCATATAATCAGTATTAATTACACTTTGAGCCTAAGTGAAATGCTAGCATGCTAATGAAGCTGTATCATTACCCCAGGCTGTAATTATGTGTTCATCTGTGGCCAGATTTATTATTATTATTATTATAATTATTATTCTGAGTCCAGCAGGAAAGAAAAGCTCAGTCGCTTTGTTTGGTTTCGGTTTAAAGGTGTTTGTTTTCTACTCTGGGTCGTATTGTTTTTATAATGTGTGTTTTATAATGTTTGTAATGTTTGTTGGACTTGGTGAAACTAAAACCTGAGCCAGTTTTTAGAGAGAGTTTAGACTTTAGTTTATGAAGGACAATGTGCAGAACAAAGATGGCGGCACCAGAATTAGCATAATTTAGAAACATATTAAAAACAGGTCAAAAAGTTCCCAACGTCAGCGAAGACGTTTGGACCATTCACAGTGTCATCTGTACTTTTAGTTTGGTAAATGGATTCTAGTCATTTCTCTTTCCCCACCATCCAGAAATCTGTGCTTTCATTTTCTGTGACATAAACTGAACTTTTTTGTTTTGTTTTAGAGCTTTTTTGTGAATACACAGCAATAAAACATGAACATTGTCCTGAGGCCGAGCTGCGCACATGGTTTTCATTTGTCTTGCAGTCATTAAGAGGAGATGGAGATGAAACGCTTGGTCTTGAGAAATGTCGTCCGGAAAATTGTCCAGTAAAAATGTGACTTTAACTTCCGGACAGTTTTGTTCCATCTTTCTCTCCTCTCAGACAGAGAGGATCCTGACTCTGGTCTCTCTGTTTCCTCAGATCTTCTCAGCGGAGCACAGGAGAAGTGTGAGCTCCCCCTGCTGGACGGGTTCCCTCACTGCGAGAGCAAGATCAAGGTGGAACACACACGCAAACACACACACATGTACACACACATGTACACAGACATGTACACACACACATGTACACACACATGTACAGACACATGTACACAGACATGTACACACACATGTACACAGACACATAGACAAACACACACACACACACACAGACACATAGACAAACATACGCACACACACACACAGATACAGACAGACAGTATGTGCATCTATGTGTCCGTGTGTTTGTGTGTTTGTGCGTGTCTGCGTGTGTGTGTGTGTGTGTGTGTGTTTGTCTATGTGTCTGTGTACATGTGTGTGTTTGCGTGTGAGTGAGTCTGTGATGTTGTATTTCCTCATATCTTCTGTGTAGGTGCGGACACACACACGGCTCCACCCTCTACACACATGCAACACACACATGCAACACACACTTATACAATGACCTCTTTCTTCTGCTGCTGCGTCTGAAACACAACAAAAGGATTCTGTGAAAAACACACAAACTGTGACATCACATCAAACTGGAAAGATTCTTTACACTTCAGCGACGATGTTGGCGATCAGCGGATTATTTGTCCTTTAATTGCTGCATTTTAAATTATGCAGATTCAAAAAAGGGACCAAGAAAAATGTTATTACTTGGTTAAAATCTGTGAAAAGTGGATTTGTGTTGTTCTGTTCCCGAGAGAGACACGTTCTGCCAGTTTGGCTTCTGTCTGAGCCAGATCGTACGCTCCGGAGGGACGCTGCTCTTTTGACGAGACCAACATGTCTTTTATGGAACGGATTTGATTATTTTGGCGTCTTAACTTTCTGTATTTTATCTCAGACATATTTATCACATTTACATTCACTGAAAAACAACACAGGACAACATTAGCATCAGTCCTGTCCCGTGCAGTGGGAATGTAATGCTTCAAAGAATGGATCCAAGAGAAATAACTCAGTCTTTGTCCAGTTTATGAAAAAGGAGAATAACTCTCAGACAAACCCAGAGCTCGCCTCGCGCCTCTCTCTGCGCCTCTCTCTGCGCCTCTCTCTGCGCTCACATTCCACCTCCAGTGTTAGAGCTGTGTTGAGAAAGGACAAAGAACATGTCACGCTGAGGCCAAGGTGGATTGATGCTGAAAGAGAAGGACCAGGGGAGGACCGTGTCTGACACCTGCCCTAACATATGCTCCCATAAATCTAAAGAGAGTCTACAGTAGGTCCAGGCCAGTCCAGTCCTAGTCCCAGGCTCAGGTGGTGTCAGAGTGACCCCAGCACAGCAGGCCTTTGTTCCAATGTTACCGGAGGATTTGGTAAAATGATATTCAAATATTAAGTTTGCCAAACACCCTCCGGAGCCTACTATCTCACTCTGAATGTGTTTAGTCTTACTCTTTTCAATGCGCTGGAAAACGTCTGCAAGTCCTAACTCTGAAACAGTTGTTTGAACAGTGTTTTACACTGGTCCAGACCAGAGCAGAGAGGTTTCATGGTTTTACACTGGTCCAGACCAGAGCAGAGAGGATTCATGGTTTTACACTGGTCCAGACCAGAGCAGAGAGGATTCATGGTTTTACACTGGTCCAGACCAGAGCAGAGAGGATTCATGGTTTTACACTGGTCCAGACCAGAGCAGAGAGGATTCATGGTTTTACCCTTGTCCAGACCAGAGCAGAGAGGATTCATGGTTTTACACTGGTCCAGACCAGAGCAGAGAGGATTCATGGTTTTACACTGGTCCAGACCAGAGCAGAGAGGATTCAAGGTTTTACACTGGTCCAGACCAGAGCAGAGAGGATTCATGGTTTTACACTGGTCCAGACCAGAGCTCAGAGGATTCATGGTTTTACACTGGTCCAGACCAGAGCAGAGAGGATTCATGGTTTTACACTGGTCCAAACCAGAGCAGAGAGGATTCATGGTTTTACACTGGTCCAGACCAGAGCAGAGAGGATTCATGGTCCAAACCAAGTGGATCAGGTGAAAATCCACAGGAGGAATGCTAATGAAGCATTTAGCATTTTACTTTAGAGCTGCTGTGACCCGTCCTGCTCCACCCAGAGGCTACTCCACCTCTGCTGCTGTGACCCGTCCTGCTCCACCCAGAGGCTACTCCACCTCTGCTGCTGTGACCCGTCCTGCTCCACCCAGAGGCTACTCCACCTCTGCTGCTGTGACCCGTCCTGCTCCACCCAGAGGCTACTCCACCTCTGCTGCTGTGACCCGTCCTGCTCCACCCAGAGGCTACTCCACCTCTGCTGCTGTGACCTGTCCTGCTCCACCCAGAGGCTACTCCACCTCTGCTGCTGTGACCCGTCCTGCTCCACCCAGAGGCTACTCCACCTCTGCTGCTGTGACCCGTCCTGCTCCACCCAGAGGCTACTCCACCTCTGCTGCTGTGACCCGTCCTGCTCCACCCAGAGGCTACTCCACCTCTGCTGCTGTGACCCGTCCTGCTCCACCCAGAGGCTACTCCACCTCTGCTGCTGTGACCCGTCCTGCTCCACCCAGAGGCTACTCCACCTCTGCTGCTGTGACCCGTCCTGCTCCACCCAGAGGCTACTCCACCTCTGCTGCTGTGACCTGTCCTGCTCCACACAGATGCTACTCCACCTCTGCTGCTGTGACCCGTCCTGCTCCACCCAGAGGCTACTCCACCTCTGCTGCTGTGACCTGTCCTGCTCCACCCAGAGGCTACTCCACCTCTGCTGCTGTGACCTGTCCTGCTCCACACAGATGCTACTCCACCTCTGCTGCTGTGACCCGTCCTGCTCCACCCAGAGGCTACTCCACCTCTGCTGCTGTGACCTGTCCTGCTCCACCCAGAGGCTACTCCACCTCTGCTGCTGTGACCTGTCCTGCTCCACCCAGATGCTACTCCACCTCTGCTGCTGTGACCTGTCCTGCTCCACACAGAGGCTACTCCACCTCTGCTGCTGTGACCCGTCCTGCTCCACCCAGAGGCTACTCCACCTCTGCTGCTGTGACCCGTCCTGCTCCACCCAGAGGCTACTCCACCTCTGCTGCTGTGACCCGTCCTGCTCCACCCAGAGGCTACTCCACCTCTGCTGCTGTGACCCGTCCTGCTCCACCCAGAGGCTACTCCACCTCTGCTGCTGTGACCCGTCCTGCTCCACCCAGAGGCTACTCCACCTCTGCTGCTGTGACCTGTCCTGCTCCACACAGATGCTACTCCACCTCTGCTGCTGTGACCCGTCCTGCTTCACCCAGAGGCTACTCCACCTCTGCTGCTGTGACCTGTCCTGCTCCACCCAGAGGCTACTCCACCTCTGCTGCTGTGACCTGTCCTGCTCCACACAGATGCTACTCCACCTCTGCTGCTGTGACCCGTCCTGCTCCACCCAGAGGCTACTCCACCTCTGCTGCTGTGACCTGTCCTGCTCCACCCAGAGGCTACTCCACCTCTGCTGCTGTGACCTGTCCTGCTCCACCCAGATGCTACTCCACCTCTGCTGCTGTGACCTGTCCTGCTCCACACAGAGGCTACTCCACCTCTGCTGCTGTGACCCGTCCTGCTCCACCCAGAGGCTACTCCACCTCTGCTGCTGTGACCCGTCCTGCTCCACCCAGAGGCTACTCCACCTCTGCTGCTGTGACCCGTCCTGCTCCACCCAGAGGCTACTCCACCTCTGCTGCTGTGACCCGTCCTGCTCCACCCAGAGGCTACTCCACCTCTGCTGCTGTGACCCGTCCTGCTCCACCCAGAGGCTACTCCACCTCTGCTGCTGTGACCCGTCCTGCTCCACCCAGAGGCTACTCCACCTCTGCTGCTGTGACCCGTCCTGCTCCACCCAGAGGCTACTCCACCTCTGCTGCTGTGACCCGTCCTGCTCCACCCAGAGGCTACTCCACCTCTGCTGCTGTGACCCGTCCTGCTCCACCCAGAGGCTACTCCACCTCTGCTGCTGTGACCTGTCCTGCTCCACACAGATGCTACTCCACCTCTGCTGCTGTGACCTGTCCTGCTCCACCCAGAGGCTACTCCACCTCTGCTGCTGTGACCTGTCCTGCTCCACCCAGAGGCTACTCCACCTCTGCTGCTGTGACCTGTCCTGCTCCACACAGAGGCTACTCCACCTCTGCTGCTGTGACCCGTCCTGCTCCACCCAGAGGCTACTCCACCTCTGCTGCTGTGACCCGTCCTGCTCCACCCAGAGGCTACTCCACCTCTGCTGCTGTGACCCGTCCTGCTCCACCCAGAGGCTACTCCACCTCTGCTGCTGTGACCCGTCCTGCTCCACCCAGAGGCTACTCCACCTCTGCTGCTGTGACCCGTCCTGCTCCACCCAGAGGCTACTCCACCTCTGCTGGTGTGACCCGTCCTGCTCCACCCAGAGGCTACTCCACCTCTGCTGCTGTGACCCGTCCTGCTCCACCCAGAGGCTACTCCACCTCTGCTGCTGTGACCCGTCCTGCTCCACCCAGATCTGTCTATCTATCTAGAGCAAAATGGAGCAGAGCAGACTTTCAGATGACGTTTCAAAACAAACTTTAACAGTAAATCTGTCACAACCTGAGGACAACAAACATGTGAAATCTAATAATAATAATAATAATAATCTAAACACGTTCAGCCTCTGCCAGTCTGCTGCCAATTATACAGTGTTCTATCCAACACAGAAGATAATTGTGTTGTTGAGACAGACCTGGGCAAAGCACGGCCCGAGGGCCACGTCCGGCCCTAAACATGTTTCTATGCGGCCCCTGTACCCTTCTCATCTGTGTTAAAATACTGATTCTGATTGTACTCTGGTGTGTGTGTCTGTGTGTCTGTGTGTGTCTGTGTGTGTGTGTGTGTGTCTGTGTGTCTGTGTGTGTGTGTGTGTGTGTGTCTGTGTGTGTGTGTGTGTGTGTGTGTGTGTGTGTGTGTGTGTGTGTGTGTGTGTGTGTGTGTGTGTCTGTGTGTGTGTGTGTGTGTGTCTGTGTGTCTGTGTGTGTGTGTGTGTGTGTGTCTGTGTCTGTGTCTGTGTCTGTGTCTGTGTCTGTGTGTGTGTGTGTGTCTGTGTGTGTGTGTGTGTGTGTGTGTGTGTGTGTGTGTGTGTGTGTGTGTGTGTGTGTGTGTGTGTGTGTGTGTGTGTGTGTGTGTGTGTGTGTTCTAATGTGTTGTGTTCTTCCACAGTGGATGAAGGAGATGTGGCGTTCAGATTCCTGTTACAGTAATTACGGCGTGGATGGATCCACGTGCTCCTTCTTCATCTACCTCAGCGAGGTACGTTACCAGGACAAGACATATCTCTAACGTGACCAGAGAAATGTCCAAATATGGGCGAGTTCCGCTAATCTCTCGATGCCCAGGGGGGGTCGCCATCTTGGATCACCGGGGCTTGGTCTCGGTCCACTCACCTGCTCGGTCCTGGTTTTTACTTCCAGACCTGTTGTAGACCTTCCTTAATCTGGTCTTGACATGTTCTTGACATGTTCTTGACATGTTCTTGACATGTTCTTGACATGTTCTTGACATGTTTACTCTTGTTCAGATCCGGTTTTAGTTCTTTCCATGTTTTCACCAACATTGTTTTTCCTACATTTAGTCTTTACTTCATTGTTTGACTTATTATGATTATATTTATTGTATTATTATTGTCGTCCTATAACGTCCTCCTCGGGCCTGAACTCTTTGCTCTGGGACTGTTTTAAAGAATGTTGTTAAACCAGTTTATACCATGTAGGTGTGTATAATCTGTTATGTTAGATATGTTACAGACACATCAGTCTAGATTAGATTTGGTTAATCTAGATTATTCGTCTCAGGAGGTCATAACCAGTCACAAAGAGGGTTATAGGGATTTTTATAGAACATGATGCTTCTGTCCAGTAACAAGATGAAAAATACTTTTCAGGTGATAATACCCTTTACTTTAGTCCGTTTTAAGTTCACAAAGAACTTAAACATTTGCAGTCTTTCGGGTCGTGCTTAATGATGCTAATGCTAACAAACGTTAGCATCTCTGTCCTGATCCTCAGTGCAGCACAATGAGCACTAGTCGTCCCCGGATGTTGTTAAATATATAATGTTATGATGTCGTGGATGTAGAAGTACTTTGGCGCGCGGCTAAAGCTAACCCTCGTGCATTATTGACACGGCAACATCCAAGCGCTTTCCTGCGACCACTTTGAGACGCTCAGGTCCGAGCTTTATTTTTAACAGCAAAGGTCTTAACATCGATCACATCAATATTTAGCGCAGACTCGTAAACATATGGATTACTTTGGGTTCGTTGGAGCGCGTTAAGCTAGGTCCCAGTTAAAGGCGGTCAAACTCATGGCACACTTTCTTTGGGACTCAGTTTTGTGTTATTCTTTTTGTAAAACAGTACTTTAATAATGTCAGCGGTGTCTTCGGCTGTTCATGTTTTAACGACTAAAACTGTAACGATAGATTTGACTGTGTTTGATGTTGATACAAAATGGGGTCAGTAAAATGTTCGATAGCTTCACAGTCGAGTCTGAAGCGCACGGCATTCTGGGGGACGTAGGCAGAGGCTTCTTGACCTTCTTGAAAACAGCTGGATGAGGGAAAAGGCCACAGTTCTTGCCTTCACATTGCGTAAAGGGAAAACTTCTGGATATTTTGTGGCATAATCTGTAACTACCAACATGAATCTATGTTCCTGTTGTGCTCTCTCTCTTTCCTGTTTTACCTCTTGATCCCACCGCTGCCACCAAATGTAAGGGACCGATGGTGTACAGGTTGCCGAGCAGGAACCGCACGGCATTCTGGGAAATGCAACACAAAAAAAACACATTAAAAAAATAACATCAGACCATGCCGACTCTAAACCAGGACTGAACCAGGACTGAACCATGACTGAACCATGACTGAACCAGGACTGAACCCGGGACTGAACCAGGACTAATCCAGCACTGAACCTGGACTAATCCAAGAAGCCAGTCCCTGTGCTCCTCAGAGTCCCAGCAGGAGGCCAGTCCCTGTGCTCCTCAGAGTCTCAGCAGGAGGCCAGTCCCTGTGCTCCTCAGAGTCTCAGCAGGAGGCCAGTCCCTGTGCTCCTCAGAGTCCCAGCAGGAGGCCAGTCCCTGTGCTCCTCAGAGTCCCAGCAGGAGGCCAGTCCCTGTGCTCCTCAGAGTCCCAGCAGGAGGCCAGTCTCTGTGCTCCTCAGAGTCCCAGCAGGAGAACAGTCCCTGTGCTCCTCAGAGTCCCAGCAGGAGTCCAGTCCCTGTGCTCCTCAGAGTCCCAGCAGGAGTCCAGTCCCTGTGCTCCTCAGAGTCCCAGCAGGAGTCCAGTCCCGGTGCTCCTCAGAGTCCCAGCAGGAGTCCAGTCCCTGTGCTCCTCAGAGTCCCAGCAGGAGTCCAGTCCCTGTGCTCCTCAGAGTCCCAGCAGGAGGCCAGTCCCTGTGCTCCTCAGAGTCCCAGCAGGAGAACAGTCCCTGTGCTCCTCAGAGTCCCAGCAGGAGGCCAGTCCCTGTGCTCCTCAGAGTCCCAGCAGGAGTCCAGTCCCTGTGCTCCTCAGAGTCCCAGCAGGAGTCCAGTCCCGGTGCTCCTCAGAGTCCCAGCAGGAGTCCAGTCCCTGTGCTCCTCAGAGTCCCAGCAGGAGGCCAGTCCCTGTGCTCCTCAGAGTCCCAGCAGGAGGCCAGTCCCTGTGCTCCTCAGAGTCCCAGCAGGAGGCCAGTCCCTGTGCTCCTCAGAGTCCCAGCAGGAGGCCAGTCCCTGTGCTCCTCTGAGTTTGAGTAGAGCCCTGTGAGTCGTGTGGGACATGAATATTTGATTGTAGCTGAGAGCAGATAAAATAAGAAGCAGAAAACCATTAGGAACCTTCAGTTGAAAACAAACAACGACCTCTGAAGACGTCGCACAAAGAAGTTTACTTTATTTACTTTCGGCTTCAAAGGTGTTTTTAGAAAGTAAAGTTTCAGCTTTTAATGAGAGAGACTTCCCTACCCTCCGTAGAGTAGAGTAGAGTAGAGTAGAGTAGAGTAGAGTAGAGTAGAGTAGAGTAGAGTAGAGTAGAGTAGAGTAGAGTAGAGTAGAGTAGAGTAGAGTAGAGTAGAGTAGAGTAGAGTAGAGTGTTTCTGTGGATGTGAAGTTTGGTCCAGATGCCCCGCCCCCAGAGCGGCAGCTGGCAGCCTCCGTTGCCGTGGCGACCTGCATGTATTTCCATGTGAAGCAGCTGCAGCGTAAACAGCTCCTTATGCAACAGAAGGAAACCACTCCTGCTCCTTTCTGTCGATGCTAACGTTAGCGTGGCTCACTCACAGCTGCTGCCTTCATCTGTTTATAAAAATATAATGATACTGTTCAAGTTGAGACTTGATTTTAAACCTGCTCTGATCCTATTCTTATTTTGTCTTAAATTAGTTTCTTCATTTATGTATTTTATTGTTGTCCTCTTTCAGGGCTCCAACAAAACACCACTGAATAATAATACATTTTAATATCAAAAGTATAATTGTGTTATTTTCTTTACTAAACTTCAATAGCATCTTGCCATGTTGGATTTCAATGTAAATATAGTACTGGGTCATGTGTAACTCTAACCTATACAGTATATTCTCAAGATCATGTTTAAAGGTGATGTCCGCAACTAATTTTTTGTTTTTATAACGTTGTATTTTTTAACCATGGTACTTTCCTCTATGTACAGGAAACATTTTTTTACATTATATTTAAAGTAGTCCCTCCCCTTGGCGTGATTATGACCAATCAGATTGGCCGAAGGAGAAGAGTTAAACCAATGACGTGGGGCCTCAAGGATTTGAATTCGTTTCGACCAATCAGGAGGCTGCGTGGGCGGGGCTAACAGTGCATTCAGGGCAGTGTATGATAAACAGACATTATCTATGCTGCATGTATGATGTATAATAATAATAATAATAATAATAATAATAATAATAATAATAATAAGATTGTGGTTGTTTGAAGGTGGAGAACTGGTGTCCACGTCTGCCCTGGAGACTCAAGATCCTGAACGAGGAGTCGGATCGGCGAGCACAGGTACGAAACACAATCGGCGAGCACAGGTACGACACACAGTCCGGACACTTTAGTTTAGTGCAGTTTAGACCTGTTCAGGAGAGAGTCCTTCGTGAGAGAGAAGGTGAAGGTACATTACAAACACATATCATTACTATCACAGCTCATTTCGCTCTCTCGTCTGACTCCAGGCCTCATTTCGCTCTCTCTCGTCTGACTCCAGGCCTCATTTCGCTCTCTCGTCTGACTCCAGGCCTCATTTCGCTCTCTCTCGTCTGACTCCAGGCCTCATTTCGCTCTCTCTCGTCTGACTCCAGGCCTCATTTCGCTCTCTCGTCTGACTCCAGGCCTCATTTCGCTCTCTCGTCTGACTCCAGGCCTCATTTCGCTCTCTCGTCTGACTCCAGGCCTCATTTCGCTCTCTCGTCTGACTCCAGGCCTCATTTCGCTCTCTCTTGTCTGACTCCAGGCCTCATTTCGCTCTCTCTTGTCTGACTCCAGGCCTCATTTCGCTCTCTCGTCTGACTCCAGGCCTCATTTCGCTCTCTCGTCTGACTCCAGGCCTCATTTCGCTCTCTCGTCTGACTCCAGGCCTCATTGTTCTCGTCGCTCAGCTCATTTCGCTCTCTGACTCCAGGCCCTCATTTCGCTCTCTCTCGTCTGACTCCAGGCCTCATTTCGCTCTCTCGTCTGACTCCAGGCCTCATTTCGCTCTCTCGTCTGACTCCAGGCCTCATTTCGCTCTCTCGTCTGACTCCAGGCCTCATTTCGCTCTCTCTCGTCTGACTCCAGGCCTCATTTCGCTCTCTCTCGTCTGACTCCAGGCCTCATTTCGCTCTCTCTCGTCTGACTCCAGGCCTCATTTCGCTCTCTCTCGTCTGACTCCAGGCCTCATTTCGCTCTCTCTCGTCTGACTCCAGGCCTCATTCGTCTCTCGCTGACTCCAGGCCTCATTTCGCTCTCTCTCGTCTGACTCCAGGCCTCATTTCGCTCTCTCGTCTGACTCCAGGCCTCATTTCGCTCTCTCTCGTCTGACTCCAGGCCTCATTTCGCTCTCTCGTCTGACTCCAGTCTCACGTCTCAAACTAAATGTGATTGTAGCAGAAAAATATGTAGCAAAAAGAGGATTTAAAACCATAATGATTACGTAGGACAGCAGCAGATATGGATAGAATTATTATTCAGCTTCAGTTTTATTGCCATTTGCAATAAAACCACATTGGAATACATGTGCGAGAGTCCCCCGTGTGCATCAGACAAATACAGACTAATGCGCTTTGTTCAGGCTGATAGAGACCAGAGGGAGACCAGAGGGAGACCAGAGAGAGACCAGAGGGAGACCAGAGAGAGACCAGAGAGAGACCAGAGAGAGACCAGAGGGAGACCAGAGGGAGACCAGAGAGAGACCAGAGGGAGACCAGAGGGAGACCAGAGGGAGACCAGAGAGAGACCAGAGAGAGACCAGAGAGAGACCAGAGAGAGACCAGAGAGAGACCAGAGAGAGACCAGAGAGAGACCAGAGAGAGACCAGAGAGAGACCAGAGAGAGACCAGAGAGAGACCAGAGAGAGACCAGAGAGAGACCAGAGAGAGACCAGAGAGAGAGACCAGAGAGAGACCAGAGAGAGACCAGAGAGAGACCAGAGAGAGACCAGAGAGAGACCAGAGAGAGACCAGAGAGAGACCAGAGAGAGACCAGAGAGAGACCAGAGAGAGACCAGAGAGAGAGAGACCAGAGAGAGAGAGAGCAGAGAAAGACCAGAGAGAGAGACCAGAGAGAGACCAGAGAGAGAGACCAGTTTTTCCTGTAGTCTCTTCAGCACAGTTTAGGCCCAGAATGCAGTGAAATAAATAGGGCCATGTTCTCTCCCTCCCTCTCCATCCACACCTCTGGCTTCCTGCTCTCTCTCTCCTTGTCCCTGTGCTGCATGCGGCCGTAGCACAGGGCTCATTTGACAGGCTTTGCACATTTTCATCCAGGCCTGACTTTAATAGGCTGGAGCTGCTCAGTGACTTCCCGTCTCGGTGAGGGATGCTAAAGCTACGCTAATGCTACGCTACAGCCTGTTCCAGCGCGTTAGCAGCTGATAATAGCTCAGTGCATTGGGCTGCTGTCTGTTCTCTCTCTCTCTCTGTTTTCCTTTCCATCTCTTTCTCTTCCTCAGATCCATCTCATGTCGGTCTAAGGAGATAGAGAGTTTATACTTGTTTCTTTGATGCCAGTGTTAGAGATTTTATTTAATTTAAATTTCAGTATAATTATTGTTCATGCATCTTGTGCTGTGTGCTCCTCATTCTTTCTCTTCTGTGACTTGTGATGCAACACTGACATTTCCCCGCAGTCGGTCAAATAAAGGATTTCTTCATCTTAATTCAGGGGTCTCCAGTCCTTTTCACCCAGAGAGCTACTTTCTCAGGACCAAAATGACAGCGAGCTACTACTACTTTACCGTCTGTGGAAAAATGAGAGCTAGCTTTAGCCGTAGCTAGAGCCATGTTTTGGGTAATAGTCATTCTTATACATTTATTTACTTTTGTTTGCTTTTACAATAGTATTTTGGAATATTTATAGCAGGGTCTCCAACTTATGGCTCGGGAGCTACCAGTAGCTCGCCAAAGAATTTAGATTTAACAAATGATCGTGAATGAATATATTCTGAGCCATTAGGTATATATTAAAATGATAAATTTAGGGTTATGTGTTCTCTATGTTTTGTCTTAATTATTACATGGATTTATTTATTACGACGGAGCTAATGGAGTAGCTCTCTGCCTCTTTTGTTAAATAAAAGTAGCTCTCTGATTGAAAAAGGTTAGAGACCCCTGAATTATACTTTTGTCTTTTCTAATTCCTTTGGGGAGCTCCTTGCGATGGGGTGGGGAGATACTGGTAGCTCCCGGGCTGTAGCTCCCGGGCTGTAGCTCTCAGGCTGTAGCTCCCGGGCTGTAGCTCCCGGGCTGTAGCTCCCGGGCTGTAGCTCCCGGGCTGTAGCTCTCAGGCTGTAGCTCTCAGGCTCTAGCTCCTGGGCTGTAGCTCCGGGGCTGTAGCTCTCAGGCTGTAGCTCCTCAGCTGTAGCTCTCAGGCTGTAGCTCCTCAGTAGTTTTGTGTTTGTGTTCCTCTGTGAAGCTGCAGAAGTTTTATTAAGAAATAAAACCAGACAAACACAGGTTCAGGTTATTTTTTATTTGAATGAATGAATGAATGAATGAATGAATGAAATATTTATTTCAAAACCTGCACACATAACAAAACAAAAGCAAAAACACGTACAGGGATTGAAAAGGGGTTGGAGGAAGCAAAATGCTTATATTAATCCAACCCCCCTCACCCAGACTCACAGGACAATCAATAAGACGGAAACAATACCATCCTGGGTAAAAACACATGATACAAATGTTCACTGTACAGTACATACAGTAAGAACAACACAACATCTACCACCAATGGTATGGGACAAGACAACTCACTCACTCGCTCGCTCACACACTCACTCACTCACTCGCTCGCTCACACACTCACTCACTCACTCACTCACTCACTCACTCACTCACTCACTCACTCACTCACTCACTCACTCACTCACTCACTCACTCACTCACTCACTCACTCACTCACTCACCTCACTCACTCACCTCACTCACTCACTCACTCACTCACTCACTCACTCACTCACTCACTCACTCACTCACTCACTCACTCACTCACTCACTCACTCACTCACTCACTCACTCACTCACTCACTCACTCACTCACTCACACACAGGCCCAAACCCTCCCTGACCATACACCTCTCTCCTCCAACTGCTCAGTGCTGGGGGCATCAATCTCTTACCTCCTTGTACTTCTTCATTATTTCTTTTTTATAAACTCTTTTAAATTGAATCAGGTTTGGACACGTTTTAATTTCATCAGATAGACTGTTCCACAGAGTAACTCCACACACGGAGATACACATTGATTTTAAAGTCGTTCTAAATTTAGGTAAGTATAGTTGTTTGTTTCCTCTTAGTTGATACTGATGGTGAGTATCTCTATCATGGAATAGTGTTTGCAAACTCTGTGGGAGGGAGTTTTGCGATGCCCTAATTTCTAATCTGCAACAAGTTTGTGTCTTTGCATCGGCAAAAAATACTGGAAATACCAGTTTTGTGGCTTTGTTGATCCTGACCCCAGTCTGTGTTTAGTTTAGACGCCGAGATGTTTGTTGATTTTTGGTCCAGTTCGAGGTAAATGTCTTATCTGTGTTTGAACTACATCACCCAGCTCCGCTCAGGGTCGCTCCTGACTCCTGTCCTCAGCTCAGGGCCGCTCCTGACTCCTGTCCTCAGCTCAGGGCCGCTCCTGACTCCTGTCCTCAGCTCAGGGCCGCTCCTGACTCCTGTCCTCAGCTCAGGGTCGCTCCTGACTCCTGTCCTCAGCTCAGGGTCGCTCCTGACTCCTGTCCTCAGCTCAGGGTCGCTCCTGACTCCTGTCCTCAGCTCAGGTCGCTCCTGACTCCTGTCCTCAGCTCAGGGCCGCTCCTGACTCCTGTCCTCAGCTCAGGGTCGCTCCTGACTCCTGTCCTCAGCTCAGGTCGCTCCTGACTCCTGTCCTCAGCTCAGGGCCGCTCCTGACTCCTGTCCTCAGCTCAGGGTCGCTCCTGACTCCTGTCCTCAGCTCAGGGTCGCTCCTGACTCCTGTCCTCAGCTCAGGGTCGCTCCTGACTCCTGTCCTCAGCTCAGGGTCGCTCCTGACTCCTGTCCTCAGCTCAGGGCCGCTCCTGACTCCTGTCCTCAGCTCAGGGCCGCTCCTGACTCCTGTCCTCAGCTCAGGGTCGCTCCTGACTCCTGTCCTCAGCTCAGGGTCGCTCCTGACTCCTGTCCTCAGCTCAGGGTCGCTCCTGACTCCTGTCCTCAGCTCAGGGCCGCTCTCCTGACTCCTGTCCTCAGCTCAGGGCCGCTCCTGACTCCTGTCCTCAGCTCAGGGCCGCTCCTGACTCCTGTCCTCAGCTCAGGGTCGCTCCTGACTCCTGTCCTCAGCTCAGGTCGCTCCTGACTCCTGTCTTCAGCTCAGGGTCGCTCCTGACTCCTGTCCTCAGCTCAGGGTCGCTCCTGACTCCTGTCCTCAGCTCAGGGCCGCTCTCCTGACTCCTGTCTTCAGCTCAGGGCCGCTCCTGACTCCTGTCTTCAGCTCAGGGCCGCTCCTGACTCCTGTCCTCAGCTCAGGTCGCTCCTGACTCCTGTCCTCAGCTCAGGTCGCTCCTGACTCCTGTCCTCAGCTCAGGGCCGCTCTCCTGACTCCTGTCCTCAGCTCAGGGCCGCTCCTGACTCCTGTCCTCAGCTCAGGGCCGCTCTCCTGACTCCTGTCCTCAGCTCAGGGTCGCTCCTGACTCCTGTCCTCAGCTCAGGGCCGCTCTCCTGACTCCTGACTCCTGTCCTCAGCTCAGGGCCGCTCCTGACTCTTGTCCTCAGCTCAGGGTCGCTCCTGACTCCTGTCCTCAGCTCAGGGCCGCTCCTGACTCCTGTCCTCAGCTCAGGGTTGCTCCTGACTCCTGTCCTCAGCTCAGGGCCGCTCCTGACTCCTGTCCTCAGCTCCAGGGTCGCTCCTGACTCCTGTCCTCAGCTCAGGGCCGCTCTCCTGACTCCTGTCCTCAGCTCAGGGCCGCTCCTGACTCCTGTCCTCAGCTCAGGGTCGCTCCTGACTCCTGTCTTCAGCTCAGGGCCGCTCCTGACTCCTGTCCTCAGCTCAGGGCCGCTCCTGACTCCTGTCCTCAGCTCAGGGTCGCTCCTGACTCCTGTCCTCAGCTCAGGGTCGCTCCTGACTCTTGTCCTCAGCTCAGGGTCGCTCCTGACTCCTGTCCTCAGCTCAGGGCCGCTCCTGACTCCTGTCCTCAGCTCAGGGTCGCTCCTGACTCCTGTCCTCAGCTCAGGGTCGCTCCTGACTCTTGTCCTCAGCTCAGGGCCGCTCCTGACTCCTGTCCTCAGCTCAGGGTCGCTCCTGACTCCTGTCCTCAGCTCAGGGCCGCTCCTGACAGACATTCTACAGCTGCAGCTTCTCTTAGCGTACCACATTTTAGCGCTTTTTAGCATAACTTGTAGGAACATGTTTTATAACTGAGCTAATTGTATTTTTTAATGAAACAAACTTTGATCCACACGAGTACAAGTATTTAACCATGTCACAGATACTTACGACATCTTTAGCAAAACATGGATTCTGTAGCTGCAGGAAGTGATGTCACATCTGAACTTTATCGACAAACGGTTAACACAAAAGTGAACAAATTGACCTCTGCAAATCATAAACAACACAATCCCAATTTATAATTCTTCAGTGCTCCAAGTCGTGTCCAGACTTAAACAACTCTAAACGTGATCTTAGTAGTGATTATATTGTTCCAGCTTCTTCTTCTTCAGCTCTAAGTCTGAAATGTCTTCTCTGCAGTCACTGAAGTGTTTACAGTAAATAGCCTCCAGTTTGTGTGGTGTTTTTCACGCCGTTTCCATATTAAACATTTACAATAGACTCTTTGAAGTGTGCGCCCTGTGGATAACTGTTGTTCTGCTGTTTTCTCAACGACTTTCTACTCTGGAGACGAGGAAGTGAGAAACACCAGGAATACAGTACTGTATGTTCTGTATGTGTGTGGAAATACGACAACTTTATCTGCAGGAGTTACTCACACGGGTTGAGCTAATGCTAACGGCTACTGCTTTTGCTAACGGCTACTGCTTTTGCTAACGGCTACTGCTTTTGCTAACGGCTACTGCTTTTGCTAACGGCTACTGCTTTTGCTAACGGCTACTGCTCAAATCCTTTTAATCTCTTAGTGTGCGGGACTTTCCTTTATGTTTAAAACACACACTCTGTAAAAACGCACAGGCAGAGGTGAAGACCAGTTTAGAGAAGCTGTACCATGTGTGTGTACCATGTGTGTGTTGTAGGCAGAGGTGAAGACCAGTTTAGAGAAGCTGTACCATGTGTGTGTACCATGTGTGTGTTGTAGGCAGAGGTGAAGACCAGTTTAGAGAAGCTGTACCATGTGTGTGTACCATGTGTGTGTTGTAGGCAGAGGTGAAGACCAGTTTAGAGAAGCTGTACCATGTGTGTGTACCATGTGTGTGTTGTAGGCAGAGGTGAGGACCAGTTCAGAGGTGCTGTACCATGTGTGTGTTGTAGGCAGAGGTGAGGACCAGTTTAGAGGAGCTGTACCATGTGTGTGTTGTAGGCAGAGGTGCGGACCAGTTTAGAGGAGCTGTACCATGTGTGTGTTGTAGGCAGAGGTGAGGACCAGTTTAGAGGAGCTGTACCATGTGTGTGTACCATGTGTGTGTTGTAGGCAGAGGTGAGGACCAGTTTCGAGGAGCTGTACCATGTGTGTATACCATGTGTGTGTTGTAGGCAGAGGTGAGGACCAGTTTCGAGGAGCTGTACCATGTGTGTGTACCATGTGTGTGTTGTAGGCAGAGGTGAGGACCAGTTTCGAGGAGCTGTACCATGTGTGTATACCATGTGTGTTGTAGGCAGAGGTGAGGACCAGTTTCGAGGAGCTGTACCATGTGTGTGTTGTAGGCAGAGGTGAGGACCAGTTTCGAGGAGCTGTACCATGTGTGTATACCATGTGTGTGTTGTAGGCAGAGGTGAGGACCAGTTTCGAGGAGCTGTACCATGTGTGTATACCATGTGTGTGTTGTAGGCAGAGGTGAGGACCAGTTTCGAGGAGCTGTACCATGTGTGTATACCATGTGTGTGTTGTAGGCAGAGGTGAGGACCAGTTTCGAGGAGCTGTACCATGTGTGTGTACCATGTGTGTGTTGTAGGCAGAGGTGAGGACCAGTTTCGAGGAGCTGTACCATGTGTGTGTTGTAGGCAGAGGTGAGGACCAGTTTCGAGGAGCTGTACCATGTGTGTATACCATGTGTGTGTTGTAGGCAGAGGTGAGGACCAGTTTAGAGGAGCTGTACCATGTGTGTGTTGTAGGCAGAGGTGAGGACCAGTTTCGAGGAGCTGTACCGTGTGTGTGTTGTAGGCAGAGGTGAGGACCAGTTTAGAGGAGCTGTACCATGTGTGTATACCATGTGTGTGTTGTAGGCAGAGGTGAGGACCAGTTTCGAGGAGCTGTACCATGTGTGTGTACCATGTGTGTGTTGTAGGCAGAGGTGAGGACCAGTTTCGAGGAGCTGTACCATGTGTGTGTACCATGTGTGTGTTGTAGGCAGAGGTGAGGACCAGTTTCGAGGAGCTGTACCATGTGTGTGCACCATGTGTGTGTTGTAGGCAGAGGTGAGGACCAGTTTCGAGGAGCTGTACCATGTGTGTGAACCATGTGTGTGTTGTAGGCAGAGGTGAGGACCAGTTTCGAGGAGCTGTACCATGTGTGTATACCATGTGTGTGTTGTAGGCAGAGGTGAGGACCAGTTTCGAGGAGCTGTACCATGTGTGTGTACCATGTGTGTGTTGTAGGCAGAGGTGAGGACCAGTTTCGAGGAGCTGTACCGTGTGTGTATACCATGTGTGTGTTGTAGGCAGAGGTGAGGACCAGTTTAGAGGAGCTTTACCATGTGTGTATACCATGTGTGTGTTGTAGGCAGAGGTGAGGACCAGTTTAGAGGATCTGTACCATGTGTGTGTACCATGTGTGTGTTGTAGGCAGAGGTGAGGACCAGTTTCGAGGAGCTGTACCATGTGTGTGTACCATGTGTGTGTTGTAGGCAGAGGTGAGGACCAGTTTCGAGGAGCTGTACCATGTGTGTGTACCATGTGTGTGTTGTAGGCAGAGGTGAGGACCAGTTTCGAGGAGCTGTACCATGTGTGTGTTGTAGGCAGAGGTGAGGACCAGTTTCGAGGAGCTGTACCATGTGTGTATACCATGTGTGTGTTGTAGGCAGAGGTGAGGACCAGTTTCGAGGAGCTGTACCATGTGTGTGTTGTAGGCAGAGGTGAGGACCAGTTTCGAGGAGCTGTACCGTGTGTGTATACCATGTGTGTGTTGTAGGCAGAGGTGAGGACCAGTTTAGAGGAGCTGTACCATGTGTGTATACCATGTGTGTGTTGTAGGCAGAGGTGAGGACCAGTTTAGAGGATCTGTACCATGTGTGTGTACCATGTGTGTGTTGTAGGCAGAGGTGAGGACCAGTTTCGAGGAGCTGTACTATGTGTGTGTTGTAGGCAGAGGTGAGGACCAGTTTCGAGGAGCTGTACCATGTGTGTATACCATGTGTGTGTTGTAGGCAGAGGTGAGGACCAGTTTCGAGGAGCTGTACCATGTGTGTATACCATGTGTGTGTTGTAGGCAGAGGTGAGGACCAGTTTCGAGGAGCTGTACCATGTGTGTATACCATGTGTGTGTTGTAGGCAGAGGTGAGGACCAGTTTCGAGGAGCTGTACCGTGTGATGTCGCAAAGGGAGGAGTTTCGGTGGATGATGCTGAGGATCAAACGAATGGCCGAGCCTTGGATCAGCGCCACACGGTCCCTGGTACAGAAGCAGAACCTGAAACATCGACGCCGAAAGAAGGTGGGTCACCAGAACCATCAACACATACTTATACTGCACCAGAACCATCAACACATACTTATACTGCACCAGAACCATCAACACATACTTATACTGCACCAGAACCATCAACACATACTTATACTGCACCAGAACCATCAACACATACTTATACTGCACCAGAACCATCAACACATTCTTGATAGTTTGCAGTTTTCTGTATGAACTAAAGTGAGTCAGGACTGAACGGATTAAAGAACATGATACAGAATAAACAGCAACAGGGAGAGGTCTCCTCCTCCTCCTTTTCCTTCTCCTCCCTCTCCTCCTTCTCCTTCTCCTCCCTCTCCTCCTCCTTCTCCTTCTCCTTCTCCTTCGTGTTTAACTACACCACAGACTTCGTCACCCTAACGACCCTAACGACCCTAACGAGCCTAACCTCTGTCCCTGGTGAGAGAATGCAGATGATGATAGTAACGTGTGTGGCTATAATCACATCTGGCTGCGTCCCAAGCTGAGGTACGGAAGCCTCTCTGGGACAACATTAGCAGTGAGTTCAATATTTGCTGAATAATCTTTTCTGGTCGTGAATAATTCAGACTCTCTCCACGAAGGAAACCAGCCAAGTTTCTACCAGCTCCGTCTAAAACTCTAAAACTATACTTTCTTACACGTTTCTTTTTCTTCTTTTTCCCCAAGTAAAAATGTGTCAAGTGCGAGTTATAAAAAGTGGCGTCACCTTCAAAGAAATGCAGTCGTTTGTTCAGAGACGCCGCGTTCCACTCAAATAAATCAGGACTGCAACTCCCATTGTTTCACCGCCGTCACACATGGTCCCAGAGCGCGGCCGTCACACATGGTCCCAGAGGTCGGCCGTCACACATGGTCCCAGAGCGCGGCCGTCACACATGGTCCCAGAGCGCGGCCGTCACACATGGTCCCAGAGCGCGGCCGTCAGATATGGTCCCGGAGGTCGGCCGTCACACATGGTCCCAGAGCGCGGCCGTCACACATGGTCCCAGAGCGCGGCCGTCACACATGGTCCCAGAGCGCGGCCATCACACATGGTCCCAGAGCGCGGCCATCACATATGGTCCCAGAGCGCTGCCGTCACACATGGTCCCAGAGCGCGGCCGTCAGATATGGTCCCAGAGCGCTGCCGTCACACATGGTCCCAGAGCGCTGCCGTCACACATGGTCCCAGAGGTCGGCCGTCACACATGGTCCCAGAGGTCTGCTGTCACACATGGTCCCAGAGCGCTGCCGTCACATATGGTCCCAGAGCGCTGCCGTCACACATGGTCCCAGAGGTCGGCCTTCAGACATGGTCCCAGAGGTCGGCCGTCACACATGGTCCCAGAGGTCGGCCTTCAGACATGGTCCTAGAGCGCTGCCGTCACACATGGTCCCAGAGGTCGGCCGTCACACATGGTCCCAGAGGGGTTAAGACCACGCTGCACATGGTACGCGGCACGGTGGCTGAGTGGATAGCACTCTCGCCTCTCAGCAAGAAGGTCCTGGGTTCGAATCCCGGTCGGACCAGGGCCTTTCTGAGTGGAGTTTGCATGTTCTCCCCGTGTCTGCGTAGGTTTCCTCCGGGTACTCCGGTTTCCCCTACCACTAAAAATATGTCCAATAGTTCTGGCATGCGCCTTGTGTACTGGCCCTGCTCCCATCTCTGTGTGGAGTGAGAGACAAATGCCCAAAAATTAACAATTGTAAACCGCTTTGAGACTCAGATCTGCAGTGAAAAGGCGGTATATAAATAAAAACTTACTTACTTACACATAGTCCCAGAGGGTTTAGGACCACGCTGCACATGGTTCAGGCCACTGCGAGTCAGGGCAGTACCACAGACTGAGAGTAAAAGTGTCCACAGACAGACACATAGACAGACAGATACACAGACAGATACAAACATACACAGACAGACACACAGACAGACAGATACACAGACAGATACAGACAGATACAAACATACACAGACAGACACACAGACAGACAGATACAGACAGATACAAACATACACAGACAGATACAGACAGATACAAACATACACAGACAGATACAGACAGATACAAACATACACAGACAGACAGATACAAACAGACAGATACAAACATACACAGACAGACACACAGACAGACAGATACAAACATACACAGACAGACACACAGACAGACAGATACAAACAGACACAGACAGATACAAACATACACAGACAGACACACAGACAGATACAAACATACACAGACAGACACACAGACAGACAGATACAGACACAGACAGATACAAACATACACAGACAGATACACAGACAGATACACAGACAGATACACAGACAGTTACACAGACAGTTACACAGACAGTTACACAGACAGATACACAGACAGATACACAGACAGATACACAGACAGATACAAACATACACAGACAGACACACAGACAGATACAAACATACACAGACAGACACACAGACAGACAGATACAAACAGACACAGACAGACACACAGACAGATACAAACATACACAGACAGATACAAACATACACAGACAGATACAAACATACACAGACAGATACACAGACAGATACACAGACAGATACACAGACAGATACACAGACAGATACAAACATACACAGACAGACACACAGACAGATACAAACATACACAGACAGACACACACACAGACAGATACAAACATACACAGACAGACACACAGACAGATACAAACAGACACAGACAGATACAAACATACACAGACAGATACAAACATACACAGACAGACACACAGACAGTTACACAGACAGATACACAGACAGATACACAGACAGATACACAGACAGATACAAACATACACAGACAGATACAAACATACACAGACAGATACAAACATACACAGACAGACACACAGACAGATACAAACATACACAGACAGATACACAGACAGATACAAACATACACAGACAGATACACAGACAGATACAAACATACACAGACAGATACACAGACAGATACAAACATACACAGACAGATACACAGACAGATACAAACATACACAGACAGATACAAACATACACAGACAGACACACAGACAGACAGATACAAACAGACAGACACAGGTGTCCAGCAGCAGAAACAGTCCATCTGATCAAAAACAAGAAGAAGAGGTTAATGTTTGTTCTGTATATAGTGTATATAGTGTTGAAATGTACAATCATTATAATTGTATAATTTGGCATCTTTCCCGGTAAGAGTTACTCACACGGCGTAAGCTAATGCTAACGCTACTGCTCATATCCTTCTGGGTAATCTGAGTGTGGGACTTTCTCTTCTTTCTGGAATTTTACTTCCTGTACGTCTTACCTGTCATACATACACGTGTCGTTGACGTGCCTCTGTCTGTGTCTGTGTCTGTGTCTGTGTCTGTGGTCAGGTCCTGGTCCACTTGGGGCTCCTGACCAAAGAGTCGGGTTTTAAGATCGCGGAGAACGCCTTCAGCGGGGGTCCCCTGGGGGAGCTGGTGCAGTGGAGCGACCTCATCACTACACTCTACCTGCTGGGTCACGACGTCCGCATCTCTGCCTCCATCGCCGAGCTCAAAGAGTGAGTCTACACACACATATACACACACACATATACACACACATACAGTATATACACACACACATATACACACACATACAGTATATACACACACACATATACACACACACACATATACACACACATACAGTATATACACACACACATATACACACACATACAGTATATACACACACACATATACACACACATACAGTATATACACACACACATATAAACATACTCTCCTGTCTGTCTCTTAGTGTTGTCCTGGTCCTCTCCTGTCTGTCTCTTAGTGTTGTCCTGGTCCTCTCCTGTCTGTCTCTTAGTGTTGTCCTGGTCCTCTCCTGTCTGTCTCCTAGTGTTGTCCTGGTCCTCTCCTGTCTGTCTCCTAGTGTTGTCCTGGTCCTCTCCTGTCTGTCTCCTAGTGTTGTCCTGGTCCTCTCCTGTCTGTCTCCTAGTGTTGTCCTGGTCCTCTCCTGTCTGTCTCCTAGTGTTGTCCTGGTCCTCTCCTGTCTGTCTCCTAGTGTTATCCTGGTCCTCTCCTGTCTGTCTCTTAGTGTTGTCCTGGTCCTCTCCTGTCTGTCTCCTAGTGTTATCCTGGTCCTCTCCTGTCTGTCTCCTAGTGTTATCCTGGTCCTCTCCTGTCTGTGTCCTAGTGTTGTCCTGGTCCTTTCCTGTCTGTCTCCTAGTGTTGTCCTGGTCCTCTCCTGTCTGTGTCCTAGTGTTGTCCTGGTCCTTTCCTGTCTGTCTCCTAGTGTTGTCCTGGTCCTCTCCTGTCTGTCTCCTAGTGTTGTCCTGGTCCTCTCCTGTCTGTGTCCTAGTGTTGTCCTGGTCCTCTCCTGTCTGTGTCCTAGTGTTGTCCTGGTCCTCTCCTGTCTGTCTCCTAGTGTTGCCCTGGTCCTCTCCTGTCTGTGTCCTAGTGTTGTCCTGGTCCTCTCCTGTCTGTCTCCTAGTGTTGTCCTGGTCCTCTCCTGTCTGTCTCTTAGTGTTGTCCTGGTCCTCTCCTGTCTGTCTCTTAGTGTTGTCCTGGTCCTCTCCTGTCTGTGTCCTAGTGTTGTCCTGGTCCTCTCCTGTCTGTGTCCTAGTGTTGTCCTGGTCCTCTCCTGTCTGTCTCCTGGTGTTGCCCTGGTCCTCTCCTGTCTGTCTCCTAGTGTTGTCCTGGTCCTCTCCTGTCTGTCTCCTAGTGTTGTCCTGGTCCTCTCCTGTCTGTCTCCTAGTGTTATCCTGGTCCTCTCCTGTCTGTCTCCTAGTGTTGTCCTGGTCCTCTCCTGTCTGTGTCCTAGTGTTGTCCTGGTCCTCTCCTGTCTGTGTCCTAGTGTTGTCCTGGTCCTCTCCTGTCTGTGTCCTAGTGTTGTCCTGGTCCTCTCCTGTCTGTGTCCTAGTGTTGTCCTGGTCCTCTCCTGTCTGTCTCCTAGTGTTATCCTGGTCCTCTCCTGTCTGTCTCCTAGTGTTGTCCTGGTCCTCTCCTGTCTGTGTCCTAGTGTTGTCCTGGTCCTCTCCTGTCTGTGTCCTAGTGTTGTCCTGGTCCTCTCCTGTCTGTCTCCTAGTGTTGCCCTGGTCCTCTCCTATCTGTGTCCTAGTGTTGTCCTGGTCCTCTCCTGTCTGTCTCCTAGTGTTGTCCTGGTCCTCTCCTGTCTGTCTCTTAGTGTTGTCCTGGTCCTCTCCTGTCTGTCTCCTAGTGTTGTCCTGGTCCTCTCCTGTCTGTCTCCTAGTGTTATCCTGGTCCTCTCCTGTCTGTGTCCTAGTGTTGTCCTGGTCCTCTCCTGTCTGTCTCCTAGTGTTGTCCTGGTCCTCTCCTGTCTGTGTCCTAGTGTTGTCCTGGTCCTCTCCTGTCTGTGTCCTAGTGTTGTCCTGGTCCTCTCCTGTCTGTCTCCTAGTGTTGTCCTGGTCCTCTCCTGTCTGTCTCCTAGTGTTGTCCTGGTCCTCTCCTGTCTGTCTCTTAGTGTTGTCCTGGTCCTCTCCTGTCTGTGTCCTAGTGTTGTCCTGGTCCTTTCCTGTCTGTCTCCTAGTGTTGTCCTGGTCCTCTCCTGTCTGTCTCCTAGTGTTGTCCTGGTCCTCTCCTGTCTGTCTCCTAGTGTTATCCTGGTCCTCTCCTGTCTGTGTCCTAGTGTTGTCCTGGTCCTCTCCTGTCTGTCTCCTAGTGTTGTCCTGGTCCTCTCCTGTCTGTCTCTTAGTGTTGTCCTGGTCCTCTCCTGTCTGTGTCCTAGTGTTGTCCTGGTCCTTTCCTGTCTGTCTCCTAGTGTTGTCCTGGTCCTCTCCTGTCTGTCTCCTAGTGTTGTCCTGGTCCTCTCCTGTCTGTCTCCTAGTGTTGTCCTGGTCCTCTCCTGTCTGTCTCCTAGTGTTGTCCTGGTCCTCTCCTGTCTGTGTCCTAGTGTTGTCCTGGTCCTCTCCTTGGTCCGGTATGATTTCTTTGATGTGTATTTCACGTGTGTATTTCACGTGTGTATGTTGCGTGTGTATGTTGCGTGTGTATGTTGCGTGTGTATGTTGCGTGTGTATTTCACGTGTGTATGTTGCGTGTGCTGCAGGATCATGCGTAAGGTGATGGGGAACAAGTCCACGTGTCCCACACAAGGAGACAAAATCGTGGAGCTCATCTACATCGACATCGTGGGACTCACTCAGTTCAAGAAGACGCTGGGACCGTCCTGGGTCCACTACCAGTGAGGACATATTTATACCTCTGTCTCTGCCTCTGTCTCTGTCTCTGTCTCTGCCTCTGCCTCTGACTCTGTCTCTGTCTCTGTCTCTGTCTCTGTCTCTGCCTCTGCCTCTGCCTCTGCCTCTGCCTCTGTCTCTGTCTCTGGCTCTGCCTCTGTCTCTGCCTCTGCCTCTGCCTCTGCCTCTGCCTCTGCCTCTGCCTCTGCCTCTGCCTCTGCCTCTGCCTCTGCCTCTGCCTCTGCCTCTGCCTCTGCCTCTGCCTCTTGCCTCTGCCTCTGCCTCTGCCTCTGCCTCTGCCTCTGCCTCTGCCTCTGCCTCTGCCTCTGCCTCTGCCTCTGTCTCTGTCTCTGCCTCTGTCTCTGCCTCTGCCTCTGCCTCTGTCTCTGTCTCTGCCTCTGCCTCTGCCTCTGTCTCTGTCTCTGTCTCTGTCTCTGCCTCTGCCTCTGCCTCTGCCTCTGTCTCTGCCTCTGTCTCTGTCTCTGTCTCTGCCTGTGTCTCTGCCTCTGTCTCTGTCTCTGCCTCTGCCTCTGCCTCTGCCTCTGTCTCTGCCTCTGTCTCTGCCTCTGTCTCTGTCTCTGCCTCTGTCTCTGTCTCTCTGCCTCTGTCTCTGTCTCTGCCTCTGTCTCTGTCTCTGTCTCTGTCTCTGCCTCTGCCTCTGTCTCTGTCTCTCTGCCTCTCTGCCTCTGTCTCTGTCTCTGTCTCTGTCTCTGCCTCTGCCTCTGTCTCTGTCTCTCTGCCTCTGTCTCTGTCTCTGTCTCTGCCTCTGCCTCTGCCTCTGCCTCTGTCTCTGTCTCTGTCTCTGCCTCTGCCTCTGCCTCTGCCTCTGTCTCTGCCTCTGTCTCTGCCTCTGTCTCTGTCTCTGCCTCTGCCTCTGCCTCTGTCTCTGCCTCTGCCTCTGTCTCTGTCTCTGCCTCTGCCTCTGCCTCTGCCTCTGTCTCTGCCTCTGCCTCTGTCTCTGTCTCTGCCTCTGTCTCTGCCTCTGCCTCTGCCTCTGCCTCTGCCTCTGCCTCTGTCTCTGTCTCTGCCTCTGCCTCTGTCTCTGTCTCTGTCTCTGCCTCTGTCTCTGTCTCTGTCTCTCTGCCTCTCCGCCTCTGCCTCTGTCTCTGTCTCTGCCTCTCTGCCTCTGTCTCTGCCTCTGTCTCTGTCTCTGTCTCTGCCTCTGCCTCTGTCTCTGTCTCTCTGCCTCTCTGCCTCTGTCTCTGCCTCTGCCTCTGCCTCTGCCTCTGTCTCTGTCTCTGTCTCTGCCTCTGCCTCTGCCTCTGCCTCTGCCTCTGTCTCTGCCTCTGCCTCTGCCTCTGTCTCTGTCTCTCTGTCTCTGCCTCTGCCTCTGCCTCTGCCTCTGCCTCTGCCTCTGTCTCTGCCTCTGTCTCTGTCTCTGCCTCTGCCTCTGCCTCTGTCTCTGCCTCTGCCTCTGCCTCTGTCTCTGCCTCTGCCTCTTCCTCTGCCTCTGCCTCTGTCTCTGCCTCTGCCTCTGTCTCTGTCTCTGCCTCTGCCTCTGTCTCTGCCTCTGCCTCTGCCTCTGCCTCCGCCTCTGCCTCTGTCTCTGCCTCTGCCTCTGTCTCTGTCTCTGCCTCTGTCTCTGTCTCTCTGTCTCTGCCTCTGTCTCTGCCTCTGCCTCTGTCTCTGCCTCTGCCTCTGTCTCTGTCTCTGCCTCTGCCTCTGTCTCTGCCTCTGCCTCTGCCTCTGCCTCCGTCTCTGCCTCTGCCTCTGTCTCTGCCTCTGTCTCTGCCTCTGTCTCTGTCTCTGTCTCTGCCTCTGTCTCTGTCTCTCTGCCTCTGTCTCTGTCTCTGCCTCTGTCTCTGTCTCTGTCTCTGTCTCTGTCTCTGCCTCTGTCGCTGTCTCTCTGCCTCTCTGCCTCTGTCTCTGCCTCTGTCTCTGTCTCTGTCTCTGCCTCTGCCTCTGTCTCTGTCTCTCTGCCTCTCTGCCTCTGTCTCTGTCTCTGTCTCTGTCTCTGTCTCTGTCTCTGCCTCTGCCTCTGTCGCTGTCTCTCTGCCTCTCTGCCTCTGTCTCTGCCTCTGTCTCTGTCTCTGTCTCTGCCTCTGCCTCTGTCTCTGTCTCTCTGCCTCTCTGCCTCTGTCTCTGTCTCTGCCTCTGCCTCTGCCTCTGCCTCTGTCTCTGTCTCTGCCTCTGCCTCTGCCTCTGCCTCTGTCTCTGCCTCTGTCTCTGCCTCTGTCTCTGTCTCTGCCTCTGCCTCTGCCTCTGTCTCTGCCTCTGCCTCTGTCTCTGTCTCTGCCTCTGCCTCTGTCTCTGCCTCTGTCTCTGTCTCTGCCTCTGTCTCTGCCTCTGCCTCTGTCTCTGTCTCTGCCTCTGCCTCTGCCTCTGCCTCTGCCTCTGCCTCTGTCTCTGCCTCTGCCTCTGCCTCTGTCTCTGCCTCTGCCTCTGCCTCTGTCTCTGTCTCTCTGCCTCTCTGCCTCTGCCTCTGTCTCTGTCTCTGCCTCTGCCTCTGTCTCTGTCTCTCTGCCTCTCTGCCTCTGTCTCTGTCTCTGTCTCTGCCTCTGTCTCTGCCTCTGCCTCTGTCTCTGCCTCTGCCTCTGCCTCTGTCTCTGTCTCTGTCTCTGCCTCTGCCTCTGCCTCTGCCTCTGCCTCTGCCTCTGCCTCTGCCTCTGCCTCTGCCTCTGCCTCTGCCTCTGCCTCTGCCTCTGCCTCTGCCTCTGCCTCTGTCTCTGCCTCTGCCTCTGCCTCTGCCTCTGCCTCCGCCTCCGCCTCTGTCTCTGCCTCTGCCTCCGCCTCTGCCTCAAGGTCTTCCTGGTCTTGGTTTTGTTTGTGTTTCCAAGTGGGAGTAGAAAGGGGCTCACCAAACACTAATAGCTTTTCCGCTTCGTTAGACCTGTCAGCAGCTTTTGTTTTGCCTTTGTAGGAATCTGGAAGTCGATTCATTGAAACATAATGAAACGTCCAGCTGCTATTTTTATGTATTTTCCTTTTTTCTATTGTCAAACTGGAAACACAAGACCTCTGAGTCCTGGGGTAAGACCTGGTGGAGGTTCAGGGTCATTTAGTCATTTAGGGCTATCATATCTTACTAATATTTAAGAAGACACAACATAACATCTGTTTTATAGAAAGAATACATTCATGGGTTTGCTCCAACTGCAGAGGGAGTGATAACAGTGTCTCAGGTGTAACAAACTTCAATCATTCAGACAGCCCAAAGCTGTAGTAATAGTAGTTTTTAATGTGTTAAATCAAAGTAACCAAACTATTTCCTCTCTGCGTTTAAAGAAGTCCCTCTCCTCAGATGTGTTTGATATTCTCTGCCTGTTCCAAAGCACAAAGCTCCAGTTCCTGCAGCGTCACAAAAACCTAATCATTTTGCTCTGGTCCTTTGTTTTTCCGTCTCTCGGAGCCTAAACGCTTTCACAGCCTTTCCTCATGGATCCAGTTTCTGTTCTTCTTCACTCCTCTTCCTCTTCTCCTGCTTCTGTTGCTGAAAGCTCAGCTTCAGGCTTCTCTCTCGACTCCTGATTTCATTCACAAGACTCTGAGTTTAGTGGAAGTTTTTACAATCAAAATATCAACATCACAGATTCTCCAGAGCAGCATGACCAACCTCAGGCCCGGGGGCTATTTGCGGCCCTCAGTGTTGTTGGATGTGGTCCTCTGTCACGCTAACTCATAGTAGTCTCTGAGATTATAAACACAAGATCACTGTGTCATCCATCCAACTTCAGCTCAGCCAATATAGACCTTGTTCTAAATCACAGTAAGTTAGTCTTTGATCGTTTTTGCTACTGAAGCTGCTAATTATTGTATTCCATAAATGTTATATACTTTTGATGCCCTCTGTGCCTTTGTGTTGAATAATTCTGAACATTTCCAATAAACAGATTTAAATAATAATAATAATAATAATAATAATAATAATAATAATTATTATTATTATTATTATTATTTATTATTATTATTATTATTATTGGGTCTGTTTGGGTTCCGTTGGAATCCACAGCTGTAGCATTTACACCCGCTCACATGAATCCTAGACTCTGGATCCAGCCTGATCCGCGGCTCACAGAGATCCATGAGCCGGGTTTTCCTTGTGTCCATCTGGCGGCGGCGGCGGCGGCGTTGTCAGGGGAGCGGAGGTGGTTGTGTTTTCGTGGGCGACATGTGCTTTGGCTGCGGCTCGTCCAAAACTCTCTCCAGCTCTGGGCTCTCTCCGGGCAGTTCACAGAGAGGGAGGGAGGGAGAGAGGGAGAGAGGGAGGTAGGGAGAGTGAGGGAGGGGGAGAGTGAGGGAGGGAGGAGAGGGAGGGAGGGAGAGAGGGAGAGTGAGGGAGAGAGGGAGAGAGGGAGGTAGGGAGAGTGAGGGAGGGGGAGGAGTGAGGGAGGGGGAGAGTGAGGGAGGGAGAGAGGGAGGGAGGGAGAGAGGGAGAGTGAGGGAGAGAGGGAGAGAGGGAGGGAGGGAGAGAGGGAGAGTGAGGGAGAGAGGGGGAGAGGGAGGGAGGGGAGAGAGGGAGAGTGAGGGAGAGAGGGGGAGAGGGAGGGAGGGAGGGGGAGAGGAGGGAGGGAGAGAGAGGAGGGGGAGAGAGGGGGAGGTGAGGGAGAGAGGGAGAGAGGGAGGGAGGGAGAGAGGGAGGGAGGGAGAGAGGGAGAGTGAGGGAGAGAGGGAGAGAGGGAGGGAGGGAGGGGGAGAGTGAGGGAGGGAGAGAGGGAGGGAGGGGGAGAGGGAGGAGGAGGGAGGGAGAGAGAAGTAATTCCAAGTTGCAGCCGGACTTTATAGAAAACACAAGCCTTTGTTAGGATTTGAAAAGGAAAAATAAAACATGTGTCGTTGTGTTGAGAGTTTGTGTGTCTGGGATAGTGTGCGTGTGTGCGTGCGTGTGTGCGTCCGTGTCCGTGTGCGTGCGTGCGTGTGCGTGTCCGTGTCTGTGTGCGTGTCCGTGTGCGTGCGTGTGTGTGCGTGTCCGTGTCTGTGTGCGTGTCCGTGTGCGTGCGTGTGTGTGCGTGTGCGTGTCCGTGTCTGTGTGCGTGTCCGTGTCTGTGTGCGTGTCCGTGTCTGTGTCCGTGTCTGTGTGCGTGTCCGTGTCTGTGTGCGTGTCCGTGTCCGTGTCTGTGTGTATGTCCGCGTGTCCGTGCGCGTGTCTGTGTGCGTGTCCGTGTCTGTGTGCGTGTCCGTGTCTGTGTGTATGTCCGCGTGTCCGTGCGCGTGTCCGTGTCTGTGTGCGTGTCTGTGTCTGTGTGCGTGTGCGTGTCTGTGTGCGTGTCTGTGTCTGTGTCCGTGTCTGTGTGCGTGTCTGTGTCTGTGTGCGTGTCTGTGTGCGTGTCCGTGTGCGTGTCCGTGTCTGTGTGCGTGTCCGTGTCTGTGTGCGTGTGCGTGTCTGTGTGCGTGTCCGTGTCTGTGTGCGTGTCCGTGTGCCCGTGTGCGTGTCCGTGTGCGTGTCCGTGTCCGTGTGCGTGTCCGTGTCGTGTCTGCGTGTCTGTGTCTGTGTGCGTGTCCGTGTCTGTGTGCGTGTCTGTGTCTGTGTGCGTGTGCGTGTCTGTGTGCGTGTCCGTGTCTGTGTGCGTGTCCGTGTGCCCGTGTGCGTGTGTGTGTCCGTGTCCGTGTGTGTGTGCGTGTGCGTGAGGTGTGCGTTTGGGATCAGTGGCTGCACTTCCAAAGAACCAGTTCTGAAACAATCACTGCTTTGTCAAAGGTTTGCCTTGTTTTGGAAAGATAAAGATGGAGTGAGGTGTGCGTCTGTGTATGTATGTGTATGTGTGTGTGCGTCTGTGTATGTGTGTGTGTGTGTGTGCGTCTGTGTATGTGTGTGTGTGTGCGTAAGGTGTGCGTCTGTGTATGTGTCTGTATGTGTGTGTGTGTGTGTGCGTAAGGTGTGCGTCTGTGTATGTGTGTGTGTGTGCGTAAGGTGTGCGTCTGTGTATGTATGTGTGTGTGTGTGTGTCTGTGTATGTGTGTGTGTGTGCGTAAGGTGTGCGTCTGTGTATGTGTCTGTATGTGTGTGTGTGTGTGTGCGTAAGGTGTGCGTCTGTGTGTGTGTGTGTGTGCGTAAGGTGTGCGTCTGTGTATGTGTGTGTGTGTATGTGTGTGTGTGTGCGTAAGGTGTGCGTCTGTGTATGTGTCTGTATGTGTGTGTGTGTGTGTGCGTAAGGTGTGCGTCTGTATGTGTGTGTGTGTGTGTGCGTAAGGTGTGCGTCTGTGTGTGTGTGAGTGTGTGCGTAAGGTGTGCGTGTGTGTGTATGTGTGTGTGTGTGCGTAAGGTGTGCGTCTGTGTATGTGTGTGTGTGTCTGTGTGTGTGTGTGCGTAAGGTGTGCGTCTGTGTGTGTGTGTGTGTGCGTAAGGTGTGCGTCTGTGTATGTGTGTGTGTATGTGTGTGTGTGTGCGTAAGGTGTGCGTCTGTGTATGTGTCTGTATGTGTGTGTGTGTGTGTGCGTAAGGTGTGCGTCTGTGTGTGTGTGTGTGCGTAAGGTGTGCGTGTGTGTGTATGTGTGTGTGTGTGCGTAAGGTGTGCTGTATGTGTGTGTGTGTCTGTGTGTGTGTGTGTGTGCGTAAGGTGTGCGTCTGTGTATATGTGTGTGTGTATGTGTGTGTGTGTGTGCGTAAGGTGTGCGTCTGTGTATGTGTCTGTGTGTGTGTGTCTTAGAGCTTACTTGATTTACCGCTGCACTTAAGGCGGTATTGATTTTAAAGTGGGTGAAGATGTAAAGTATAAAAGCTGTCCTTACACAGACGCCTTAACTCTGTATCTGTCCTTACACAGACGCCTTAACTCTGTATCTGTCCTTACACAGACGCCTTAACTCTGTATCTGTCCTTACACAGACGCCTTAACTCTGTATCTGGTCTGGCCGGTCTTTAACTCTTTAACTCTGTATCTGGTCTGGCCGGTCTTTAACTCTTTAACTCTGTATCTGGTCTGGCCGGTCTTTAACTCTTTAACTCTGTATCTGGTCTGGCCGGTCTTTAACTCTTTAACTCTGTATCTGGTCTGGCCGGTCTTTAGGTGCATGCTGCGGGTCCTGGACTCGTTTGGGACCGAACCTGAGTTTAACCACGCCCACTACGCCCAGTCCAAAGGCCACAAGACGCCCTGGGGCAAGTGGAACCTCAACCCCCAACAGTTCAACACCATGTTCCGTAAGTACATCCATGGACCGCATCACACCTGTATTCAGACTTATTCTGTATTCATACTTATTCTGTATTTATTCTGTATTCATACTTATTCTGTATTCAGACTTATTCTGTATTTATTCTGTATTCATACTTATTCTGTATTTATTCTGTATTCATACTTATTCTGTATTCATACTTATTCTGTATTCATACTTATTCTGTATTCAGACTTATTCTGTATTCAGACTTATTCTGTATTCAGACTTATTCTGTATTCATACTTATTCTGTATTCATACTTATTCTGTATTCATACTTATTCTGTATTCATACTTATTCTGTATTCAGACTTATTCTGTATTCAGACTTATTCTGTATTCAGACTTATTCTGTATTCAGACTTATTCTGTATTCATACTTATTCTGTATTCAGACTTATTCTGTATTCAGACTTATTCTGTATTCAGACTTATTCTGTATTCAGACTTATTCTGTATTCAGACTTATTCTGTATTCAGACTTATTCTGTATTCATACTTATTCTGTATTCATACTTATTCTGTATTCAGACTTATTCTGTATTCAGACTTATTCTGTATTTTATTCTGTATTCATACTTATTCTGTATTCATACTTATTCTGTATTCAGACTTATTCTGTATTCAGACTTATTCTGTATTCAGACTTATTCTGTATTCAGACTTATTCTGTATTCATACTTATTCTGTATTCAGACTTATTCTGTATTCAGACTTATTCTGTATTCAGACTTATTCTGTATTCAGACTTATTCTGTATTCAGACTTATTCTGTATTTATTCTGTATTCATACTTATTCTGTATTCATACTTATTCTGTATTCAGACTTATTCTGTATTCAGACTTATTCTGTATTCAGACTTATTCTGTATTCAGACTTATTCTGTATTCATACTTATTCTGTATTCAGACTTATTCTGTATTCAGACTTATTCTGTATTCAGACTTATTCTGTATTCATACTTATTCTGTATTCATACTTATTCTGTATTCATACTTATTCTGTATTCAGACTTATTCTGTATTCATACTTAGTTTCGTTTCAAACTGCAACAGAAACGACTGTTATTAGCAAGGTTAGCATGTGCACTGGTTAGCATGTGCACTGGTTAGCATGTGCACTGGTTAGCATGTGCACTGGTTAGCATGTGCACTGGTTAGCATGTGCACTGGTTAGCATGTGCACTGGTTAGCATGCTAACCAGTTACTAGCGTGTAAAATAGTATTTCACTTCTATTGATGCTTCCATGAGAACTTTAGTGACACCCACTGCTTTTTACTTTTAGAAAACACAAAAATGTGATGAAAAATAAGTCAAAAATTGCTAAAAACCGAGATCATTTTTGACTGTCTTTAAACAAGATTTACCAACGGGAGAAAGCAAAGACACAGATCCTGTTTAGCATTAGCTCCTCTTCAGCTTCTGTTATTATCCTCGTGATATTTCTCTCCATTTGAAGTTGTCGCTAAATCCATCGTGTTGCAGTTAATGGAAAATCATCTCCGGGATTAAAGTAAAAGTAATGGGTCCGTTTGAGCTGCTGTGAATGTAGGACACCAGGGTTTATGGTCCTCCTGTTGCTTTATGGTACCATGTAGTTCTACTGCTCTGGACTGCTCTGGGGTCTGGACTGGTCTGGACTGCTCTGGACTGCTCTGGACTGCCCTGGGGTCTGGACTGCTCTGGACTGCTCTGGGGTCTGGACTGGTCTGGACTGCTCTGGACTGCTCTGGGGTCTGGACTGCTCTGGACTGCTCTGGACTGCTCTGGGGTCTGGACTGCTCTGGACTGCTCTGGACTGCTCTGGGGTCTGGACTGGTCTGGACTGCTCTGGACTGCTCTGGACTGCTCTGGGGTCTGGACTGCTCTGGACTGCCCTGGACTGCTCTGGACTGGTCTGGACTGCTCTGGACTGGTCTGGACTGCTCTGGACTGCTCTGGACTGCTCTGGACTGCTCTGGGGTCTGGACTGCTCTGGACTGCTCTGGGGTCTGGACTGCTCTGGACTGCTCTGGACTGCTCTGGACTGCTCTGGACTGCTCTGGACTGCCCTGGACTGCTCTGGACTGGTCTGGACTGCCCTGGACTGCTCTGGACTGCTCTGGGGTCTGGACTGCTCTGGACTGCTCTGGACTGGTCTGGACTGCTCTGGACTGGTCTGGACTGGTCTGGACTGGTCTGGACTGCTCTGGACTGCTCTGGACTGCTCTGGGCTGGTCTGGACTGCTCTGGACTGCTCTGGACTGGTCTGGGGTCTGGACTGCTCTGGACTGGTCTGGGGTCTGGACTGGTCTGGACTGGTCTGGACTGGTTTGGACTGGTCTGGACTGGTCTGGGGTCTGGACTGGTCTGGACTGGTCGGGACTGGTCTGGACTGGTCTGGACTGGTCTGGACTGGTCTGGACTGGTCAGGGGTCTGGACTGGTCTGGACTGGTCTGGACTGGTCTGGACTGGTCTGGACTGGTCTGGGGTCTGGACTGGTCTGGACTGGTCTGGACTGGTCTGGACTGGTCAGGGGTCTGGACTGGTCTGGACTGGTCTGGACTGGTCAGGGGTCTGGACTGGTCTGGACTGGTCTGGACTGGTCTGGACTGGTCAGGGGTCTGGACTGGTCTGGACTGGTCTGGACTGGTCAGGGGTCTGGACTGGTTTGGACTGGTCTGGACTGGTCTGGACTGGTCTGGACTGGTCTGGACTGCTCTGGACTGGTCTGGACTGGTCTGGACTGGTCTGGACTGGTCTGGACTGGTCTGGACTGGTCAGGACTGGTTTGGACTGGTCTGGACTGGTCTGGACTGGTCTGGACTGGTTTGGACTGGTCTGGACTGGTCTGGACTGGTCTGGACTGGTCTGGACTGCTCTGGACTGGTCTGGACTGGTCTGGACTGGTCTGGACTGGTCTGGACTGGTCTGGACTGGTCTGGACTGGTCAGGACTGGTTTGGACTGGTCTGGACTGGTCTGGACTGGTCTGGGCTCTGAGTGTGGTCCTTTATGGAGAGATGTTTTATTGATCTTTATCAGATTCATTTATTTGCCATTTGCAGTAAAACCACATTGGAATAAGTGCATAAGTGTAAAATGTGGTTTTTTTTCATAAACTGAGAGCAAAGAACTAGCTCCGTGGACGATACAGGCTCTGGTCCCACAGAGAGAAATGTCAGTGTTGCATCAGACCAAAGTGCTTTATAATCAAATATTTATATATAATTACATAAGATCCATTAATGTACTATGCATTCAAACAATAACTCTGTAGCTTTAGCATAATAAAGAAGCTAGCATAACATCTGTAGCTTTAGCATAATAAAGAAGCTAGCATAACATCTGTAGCTTTAGCATAATAAAGAAGCTAGCATAACATATGTAGCTTTAGCATAATAAAGAAGCTAGCATAACATCTGTAGCTTTAGCATAATAAAGAAGCTAGCATAAAATCTGTAGCTTTAGCATAATAAAGAAGCTAGCATAACATCTGTAGCTTTAGCATAATAAAGAAGCTAGCATAACATCTGTAGCTTTAGCATAATAAAGAAGCTAGCATAACATCTGTAGCTTTAGCATAATAAAGAAGCTAGCATAACATCTGTAGCTTTAGCATAATAAAGAAGCTAGCATAACATCTGTAGCTTTAGCATAATAAAGAAGCTAGCATAACATCTGTAGCTTTAGCATAATAAAGAAGCTAGCATAACATCTGTAGCTTTAGCATAATAAAGAAGCTAGCATAAAATCTGTAGCTTTAGCATAATAAAGAAGCTAGCATAACATCTGTAGCTCAGTGATAGTGATAATAAAGACTGGATTATTCCTAAAAACAGTCCAAAGAAAAACGGTAAAAAGCCTTAAATAGTCTGTGGACCCTCTGGTCCTAACCTCCTGAGACCCGAGCATTTGTCTGGTGTGCATTTTATATATTTTTTTGCTATTTAGGATAAGTAGGACCCAATAAGTATAATACCTAAATTGTGATTTTGTACAGGAAGTAGTTTTTGAGAAAAAACATGTCCTCGTATGAGGACAGTGGGTCTCTCATAACCTAAAGAAAAAATGTATGCTCTTTGAGGCCGGAAGGTCCTAATTAGTTGAAATTCAAAATTTCAGCTTGATCCAATTAGTACTTCTCTCAAAAATCAATGTCCTCACATGAGGACAGTGGGTCGACCTTACTATACAATACAAATAGACTCCATTGGTCTAAAATAGTATATAACAGTTTATTTGAAAAATGTAAACATCAAAGTTAGACATAAAATCCAAACAGCTCTATCTTCAAAGCCTAAAAATGTCATGGTGTGGACATTTTGACCTGGTTGAGTTTGAATCCTGTCCTGTTGATTGTTGCCCCGCCCTAATGTGATTCACCTGTGTGTCCCTGTGTGTGTGTATATACCCTGTGCCCTTCCTCACTTGTTGTCCGTCCATTGTCTCCACAATGTTTGTCCTGTCTTCAGTTCTGTTTTTACATTACCTTGGATTTATTTTATTAAATTACTTTGATTTTCAGTCCTGCAATTTGGGTTCCCTTTTTCTTCATTCATCCACATGACAAAAAATTGGCTATACATAAATAAAACTGCAAAATACTGTGTAAACTGTCTATTTCAAGCCTTCAATATGGCTGAATTGAATTGATAAATACAATACTAGAACAAATAATGGCAAATATTATTAACAGTCCTAAAACAGTAAAATTCTGCTGAACAGCTTATGAACCGGGGCTTTTTTCAAACTAGCTCCCTCTCTTTTTCTAGAAAGCAATCTGTCTGCCTGTTTGGAAGAGCCCTATTGGCAAGTGTGAAATGCTGCAAAGCAGTTGCATTCACTTTGCAAGCACAGGTACACATTGCATGTCATGCATCGGACACAGGATTTTCCAATGCAGTCTTGTGCTCTGCAACGCATGGGGTTTTTCAAGGCTACCATCTCCGGGTTAGAGTTAGGATTACAATATCCCCAGTCGAGGTCAGCAGCTCTCCACCCGCACCATACACGGTGTTGGCAAAGCACTGCTTCCCCCTCCTGAGGCGCCGGAGGGTTTGCCATAACCTTTTTGAGGGCGACCGATAGTCATGCTCCATGGACTCTCCGAACTCCTCCCAGTGTCGGGTTTTTGCCTCTGCAACAGCCCGGGCCGCGGCACGCTTGGCCTGCCGGTACTGGACAGCTGCCTCCGGAGTCCCACAAACCATCATTGCTCGATAGGACTCCTTCTTCAGCCTGACGGCATCCCTTACTGCCGGTGTCCACCACCGGGTTCGGGGATTGCCGCCGGGACCAGCACCAGAGACCTTGCGACCACAGCTACGAGCCGCTTTATTGGTGATAGAGGAAGAGAACATGGTCCACTCGGACTCAATGTCCCCCTCCTCTGGGTCCTGGGAGAAGCTCTCCCGGAAGTGTGAGTTGAAAGTCCGTCTGACAGGGGGCTCAGCGAGACGTTCCCAGCAGACCCTCACTATACGCTTGGGTCTGCCAGGTCTGACCGGCTTCTTCCCCTGCCAGCGGATCCAACTCACGACCAGGTGATGATCGGTTGACAGCTCCTCCCCTCTCTTTACCCAAGTGTCCGAGACACGCGGTCGAAGGTCAGATGATACGACAACAAAGTCGATCATCAACCTCCGGCCTAGGGTGTCCTGGTGCCACGTGCACTGGTGGACACCCTTGTGCTCGAACATGGTGTTCGTGATGGACAGACCGTGACTGGCACAGAAGTCCAACAACTGAACACCGCTCGGGTTCAGATCAGGGGGGCCGTTCTTCCCGATCACCCCTCTCCAAGTGTCACTGGCATTTCCCACATGGGCGTTGAAGTCCCCCAGGAGAATAACGGAGTCCCCGGGAGGTGCACCGTCCAGTACCCCTCCCAAGGACTCCAAGAAGGCAGGAACTCGGCACTGCCGTTAGGCCCGTAGGCCGTCACAACAATGGGAGACTTGTCCCACCCGGAGGCGGAGGGACGCGACCCTCTCATTCACCGGGGAGAACTCCAACACATGGCGGCTGAGATGGGGGGCAATGAGTATGGCCACCCCAGCTCGCCGCCTCTCCCCGTGGGAAACACCAGAAGATGACTGACAGGTATGAGATGATGATACAATCATCCCCATCTGAGAAGTCCTCTATCTCAGAGTTGTCTGCAATTGCCAACAGCAATTGTTCTGCTCTTGACAATGAAAGTGTGCCTGTAATGATAATGTTAAAAACCAACATCAAAATCTACAGTATATCAGTGACACTTCATAGCTTGGCTATCATGTGCTAGCTATAGCCTAGCTATATTGTTTATGATTTAGAATTTAGCAACACTAAACAATACTTAGCATATACCACTTAGTACTTAAATATACTATTTACAACTGTAAACCACATAACTAAGCAAATGTGTGATTCAAAATAACTATTTACAACTGTAACTTCATCTAAATCTTCCACACGGTTAGCTAAACAGATAGCGGTACATAGTCCTAGCGTCCTCAAACGAGTGCTTCACTTTTACTGACATCCTAGCCTGCTACTACAATCAAAATTTGTCAAATTTCAAACTCCATATGAAGCTAGAGACATTATTGTGCATAAAAAAATTGATTTCATTCATAAAATGTTGATAGAATTTTTACCTGGGGCATTTTTCTTCTGTAAACTCTTGTAGAAGTCTTTTGCTGATATTGCCACCATTTTTTTCCTACTGCCTTAAGTGTAATTCTATCATATCACCACAAGATGGCGCGGGCAGTGTCCCTAAATGTGGCCATCAGGTCAAGGATGTAAAAAATTTAGTATCATTGTGCCAAGAGGCAAAAATGTAATGTCCTCGTATGAGGTCGCAGGGTCTCAGGAGGGTAACAGTCTGTGGACCCTCTGGTCCTAAAGTCTGTGGACCCTCTGGTCCTAAAGTCTGTGGACCCTCTGGTCCTAAAGTCTGTGGACCCTCTGGTCCTAAAGTCTGTGGACCCTCTGGTCCTAAAGTCTGTGGACCCTCTGGTCCTAAAGTCTGTGGATCCTCTGGTCCTAAAGTCTGTGGACCCTCTGGTCCTAAAGTCTGTGGACCCTCTGGTCCTAAAGTCTGTGGACCCTCTGGTCCTAAAGTCTGTGGACCCTCTGGTCCTAAAGTCTGTGGATCCTCTGGTCCTAAAGTCTGTGGACCCTCTGGTCCTAAAGTCTGTGGATCCTCTGGTCCTGAAGTCTGTGGACCCTCTGGTCCTAAAGTCTGTGGACCCTCTGGTCCTAAAGTCTCTGGACCGTCTGGTCCTAAAGCCAGTCTCTGGAGGGTGGCCCTTCTCCCGCTGCTGCAGAGACTGAAACATAATCCGGGCGTCTCTCTGTGGATCCGGGCGTCTCTCTGTGGATCGTGGCGTCTCTCTGTGGATCGTGGCGTCTCTCTGTGGATCCGGGCGTCTCTCTGTGGATCCGGGCGTCTCTCTGTGGATCGTGGCGTCTCTCTGTGGATCGTGGCGTCTCTCTGTGGATCGTGGCGTCTCTCTGTGGATCGTGGCGTCTCTCTGTGGATCGTGGCGTCTCTCTGTGGATCGTGGCGTCTCTCTGTGGATCGTGGCGTCTCTCTGTGGATCGTGGCGTCTCTCTGTGGATCGTGGCGTCTCTCTGTGGATCGTGGCGTCTCTCTGTGGATCGTGGCGTCTCTCTGTGGATCGTGGCGTCTCTCTGTGGATCGTGGCGTCTCTCTGTGGATCGTGGCGTCTCTCTGTGGATCGTGGCGTCTCTCTGTGGATCGTGGCGTCTCTCTGTGGATCCGGGCGTCTCTCTGTGGATCCGGGCGTCTCTCTGTGGATCGTGGCGTCTCTCTGTGGATCGTGGCGTCTCTCTGTGGATCGTGGCGTCTCTCTGTGGATCGTGGCGTCTCTCTGTGGATCGTGGCGTCTCTCTGTGGATCGTGGCGTCTCTCTGTGGATCGTGGCGTCTCTCTGTGGATCGTGGCGTCTCTCTGTGGATCGTGGCGTCTCTCTGTGGATCGTGGCGTCTCTCTGTGGATCGTGGCGTCTCTCTGTGGATCGTGGCGTCTCTCTGTGGATCGTGGCGTCTCTCTGTGGATCGTGGCGTCTCTCTGTGGATCGTGGCGTCTCTCTGTGGATCGTGGCGTCTCTCTGTGGATCGTGGCGTCTCTCTGTGGATCGGGGCGTCTCTCTGTGGATCGTGGCGTCTCTCTGTGGATCGTGGCGTCTCTCTGTGGATCGTGGCGTCTCTCTGTGGATCGTGGCGTCTCTCTGTGGATCGTGGCGTCTCTCTGTGGATCGTGGCGTCTCTCTGTGGATCGTGGCGTCTCTCTGTGGGTCGTGGCGTCTCTCTGTGGATCGTGGCGTCTCTCTGTGGATCGTGGCGTCTCTCTGTGGATCGTGGCGTCTCTCTGTGGATCGTGGCGTCTCTCTGTGGATCGTGGCGTCTCTCTGTGGATCGTGGCGTCTCTCTGTGGATCGTGGCGTCTCTCTGTGGATCGTGGCGTCTCTCTGTGGATCGTGGCGTCTCTCTGTGGATCGTGGCGTCTCTCTGTGGATCGTGGCGTCTCTCTGTGGATCGTGGCGTCTCTCTGTGGATCGTGGCGTCTCTCTGTGGATCCGGGCGTCTCTCTGTGGATCGTGGCGTCTCTCTGTGGATCGTGGCGTCTCTCTGTGGATCGTGGCGTCTCTCTGTGGATCGTGGCGTCTCTCTGTGGGTCGTGGCGTCTCTCTGTGGGTCGTGGCGTCTCTCTGTGGATCGTGGCGTCTCTCTGTGGATCGTGGCGTCTCTCTGTGGATCGTGGCGTCTCTCTGTGGATCGTGGCGTCTCTCTGTGGATCGTGGCGTCTCTCTGTGGATCGTGGCGTCTCTCTGTGGATCGTGGCGTCTCTCTGTGGATCGTGGCGTCTCTCTGTGGATCGTGGCGTCTCTCTGTGGATCGTGGCGTCTCTCTGTGGGTCGTGGCGTCTCTCTGTGGATCGTGGCGTCTCTCTCTGTGGATCGTGGCGTCTCTCTGTGGATCGTGGCGTCTCTCTGTGGATCGTGGCGTCTCTCTGTGGATCGTGGCGTCTCTCTGTGGATCCGGGCGTCTCTCTGTGGATCGTGGCGTCTCTCTGTGGATCGTGGCGTCTCTCTCTGTGGATCGTGGCGTCTCTCTGTGGATCGTGGCGTCTCTCTGTGGATCGTGGCGTCTCTCTGTGGATCGTGGCGTCTCTCTCTGTGGATCGTGGCGTCTCTCTGTGGATCGTGGCGTCTCTCTGTGGATCCGGGCGTCTCTCTGTGGATCCGGGCGTCTCTCTGTGGATCCGGGCGTCTCTCTGTGGATCGTGGCGCTCTCTGTGGATCGTGGCGTCTCTCTCTGTGGATCGTGGCGTCTCTCTGTGGATCGTGGCGTCTCTCTGTGGATCGTGGCGTCTCTCTGTGGATCGTGGCGTCTCTCTCTGTGGATCGTGGCGTCTCTCTGTGGATCGTGGCGTCTCTCTGTGGATCCGGGCGTCTCTCTGTGGATCCGGGCGTCTCTCTGCAGGTGATTCCCGGCGCTGTCCCTGCTCCTCGCTCTCCTCACTCCTTCCTTTGTGTTTGTGGCGTTTCTTATGCTAACGAGACCTTGCAGGTGCTCAGGGACCTTGCAGGTGCTCAGGGCAGATGCTATCGGCTCTGGCTCCTGTTCCAACCCGTGGCATCAGCTCCGGCCTCAGGAGAGAGAAAGACGACCTGCTGACTATTGTAGTCAGCAGCCACTGGCAGTCTAGTTAGAGGAGAGACCCGGCTGGGGCCCTGTCATGAAGCCACCTGTGCCATTCCCTTAGTGATAACACAAAGAATACATTACAGAAAAACATCTGGAGTTAATCAGTCTAATCTGGAAAATCTAATTCTTGTTCCGTGTAAGAATCAGCCGACCGCAACCGCTGATACTGAAACTTTGAAACTTGCTACGCTTAATGTCAGATCTCTTTGTAACAAGTCTTTTTTAATCAATAATTTTATTTCTTCTCATAATCTTGATCTTATGTTCATGGCTGAAACTTGGCTTGACCAAAATTCAGAAAATGCAGTTTTAATAGAAGCATCACCACCAAATTTCAAGTTTGAATCTGAAATACGGGAAAACAAAAAAGGAGGAGGCTTAGCTGCCATTTTCAGAGACCACTTTGTCTCCCATAGAATGTCTCTTGGGAAGTTTTCGTCATTTGAACATGTGTCTTTTAAAATACAACAAAAACAATCTCCTCCAATACTCTTCGTTGTCCTATACAAGCCACCGCAGTCATGTCACAGTTTTATTGATCATTTTACCGAGTTGCTTTCAGTTGTATGCACAGATTTTGATAGTTTGGTTATTACAGGTGATTTTAATATTCATGTGGATAATGTTGATGACAGAAATGCAAATGAGCTGAGTTCTGTACTTGAATCCTTTGATCTCACTCAGCACGTAAGTGGCCCCACCCACAGCAGAGGGCACACTCTAGATCTGTTAGTTACAAAGGGGGTGAATATTTCAAATGTAAACGTGGTCGATGTTGCTCTTTCGGATCATTTCTGTGTTTTTTTTGACATGTGTTTCACTAACAAACCACCAGTGGACTCTGCAACTGTTCGAAGAAGACGCATAAATGAAAATACGAGTGAACTATTTATGGGAATGATAAACTTTGAGAATGCATCGTATTCTACTGTAGATGAACTGTTTAACTCTGTCACCTCTAGTGTTTTGAATGTTCTGGATACCGTTGCCCCTGTGAAGGTTAAAATAGTGAAAAATAAGCAGAAGGCGCCGTGGGCTAAAGCAGACTCGGTCAGGGCACAAAAGAGAAAGTGCCGGAGGGCCGAGCGGAAGTGGCGCAAGTCCAACCTCCAGGTAGATTACGAGATCTTCAAAGATAAGTTGTGCGAGTTTAACCGGGTGCTACGTAGTACGAGAGAAAGGTATTTTTCTGAAATGATTGAAGGCTGCAGCAACAATCTGCGTGTTCTGTTTTCAACAGTTAATAGATTAACAAACCCCCCTGTTCAAATGCCATTAGAGCTTACTTCCAAACGTAAATGCAATGAGTTTGCTAACTTTTTCAATGACAAGGTTCAAGGCATCAAAAGCGCCATTGTCTCCAATCCACAGATAACCATCCAACAGCCAGAAAGGCTCTTTGAGCTAACTCACTTTGCACCTGTAAATGATAAAACTGTCCAAGAAATAATCTCCAGTTTGAGCTCCTCCACATGCAGCCTGGATGTACTACCCACTAGATTTCTGAAGTCTGTTCTGAGCAGTCTGTTACCTTCACTCACACAGATAGTAAACATGTCCCTTCATTCTGGAATATTCCCAAAGGCCCTGAAAACTGCAGTCATCAGGCCCCTGCTAAAAAAGAGCAGTCTGGATGCTACGGTACTTAACAACTATCGTCCCATCTCAAATCTGCCATTTATGGGGAAAGTCCTTGAGAAAGTTGTCTACCTACAGCTTACTAGATTTCTTATAATCAACAACTCATTTGATATGTTTCAGTCCGGCTTTAGACCCCACCACAGCACTGAGACTGCTCTCGTTAAGGTTACAAACGATATCCGGCTGAACACTGACGCAGGCAAAGTCTCAATCTTAATCTTGTTAGATCTAAGTGCTGCCTTTGACACCGTCGACCATGAGATCCTCTTACAGAGACTAGAGGACTGGGTTGGCGTCACTGGCACCGCCCTAAGTTGGTTTAGGTCTTACCTTGAAGACAGGAAGTACTTTGTGGAGATTGGAAACTGTGTCTCAGATCATATGGCCCTGACCTGTGGAGTCCCACAGGGGTCGATCCTGGGACCTCTTCTGTTCAATCTCTACATGCTGCCGTTAGGTCAGTTAATACGCAGAAACAAAGTGTCCTATCATAACTATGCAGACGACACTCAGATCTATGTCTCACTGACTGCAGGAGAACATGGACCAGTGGACTCACTCCTTCACTGTATCCAACAGATCAGTGAGTGGATGCAAAACAACTTCCTTCAGCTAAACGCAGACAAAACTGAAATGATTGTCTTTGGTCCCCAGAAACAAAGAGAGAGCGTCATCTGTCACCTACAGTTTCTCTCCCTAAAACCTTCAAACAAGGTCAGAAATCTAGGGGTAATACTGGACTCAGACTTAAATTTTAAAAGCCACATCAAATCAGTAACATCAGCAGCTTTTTACCATCTAAAAAACATTGCCAGGATCAAAAACATAGTGTCTAAAGCAGACTTGGAGATTCTTATCCATGCATTTGTCTCCAGTAGGTTAGACTACTGCAATGGCTGCTCACAGGTCTGTCCAAACAGGCTGTAAAACAGCTGCAGTACATTAAAATGCAGCAGCTCCAGTCCTGACTAGAACCAGGAAGTACGACCATATTAGTCCTGACTAGAACCAGGAAGTACGACCACATTAGTCCAGTCCTCAGGTCTCTGCACTGGCTTCCTGTGGCTCAGAGAATAGACTTTAAAACAGCTCTGCTTGTTACAAGTCTCTCCATGGCCTCGCACCAAATATATTAGTGACATGTTAGTCCCATATGAACCAGCCCGGACTCTGAGGAGCACAGGGACTGGACTCCTGCTGGGACTCTGAGGAGCACAGGGACTGGACTCCTGCTGGGACTCTGAGGAGCACAGGGACTGGACTCCTGTTAGTGCCCAGAGTCAGAACTAAACATGGGGAGGCTGCTTTTCAGATTAATGCTGCTAAAATCTGGAACAGTCTTCCTGAAGATGTGAGACAGGCCTCCTCTCTGACAATGTTTAAAACCAGGTTAAAGACAGTTCTGTTTAGCTGTGCTACAACTGAGGGATTTTATATTTTTATCTTTCTTTTTAATGTTCTGTGATAATTTATGATTTTAATGCTTTCTTGTTTTGTTCAGCACTTTGAATTGCCTTGTGTATGAATTGTGCTATATAAATAAACTTGCCTTGCCTTGCCTAGTCGGTCTGGGACTGGACCGACGATGCTAACAAGGCTAATGGTGCTAACGAGGCTTTGCACACTGAAAACCTGCTGTCACTTTACCTAAAATAAATTAATGAAACAGATAAAATATTGAATAAAATAAATGCCGTGTTGTTTTGATAACTGAATAACCGCCGTTGTCGCCGCAGACGTCAGATTTTGTGGTTATTCAATGGAAAATACATCTTCCTTTTCCGTTGTTGATCAGAGACTTGTCGTTCTCGCCGTGAAGCGAAGCCGTGAATGTGACAGATGTGTCCAGAGTTCAGAGAAGGACATGTTTTTATTATGTAATGTTTTGATCTTTGAAACTTTTGACAGCTCTAGTTCCCAGATTCTTAAAGGACTTTCTTATGAATCCAATCATTGCCCTCTCTTTTCTATCCCAGACACAATACTGTCTTAATCTGAGCACATTCTGATTCTCCAACGGCACAAAACCAAATGATATTGTTTTAAAAAGACACAGAAATGTCTCCGTTGGAATGAGGATAAAACACAACATGGTTTTGATCCCAACAGTTCAGTAAATGTGGAGTTTTTATACATTTCCCCCAAAGCTGGAGAAAGGCCTCTGGATGGAGACCTTTGGGTTTAACAGTCGTTCTACAACAATAATCTCAATAATGGATCACTTCCTTTGACATTTACCAAAACTATAAATGTGTTTGTACCTGTGTTTTCTCGGGCTGTTTCTCAAATATAATAATCACAAAACCTTTATATAATACAGAACTGACGTCTCATAAACCAGGAAGTCTTTGTGCTTCTGCAAATCCATCGTGTGTCGTTGGATGTCTGTAGCTTCAGGAATGATGCTAATGAGAGGTTAGCTTTAAAGGTTAGCTAATGAGAGGTTAGCTTAAACCATAATATTCTGGCTAACCCTGACTCTTTATCTGCTGCTCCTTCCACTCCTGTGTTTTTACATCTTTACAGTTTGAAATCAATACAAACATCCGCGTTGTGCAGCGAGATCTTCTACTGATCCGGCCCGATGCTAATCTGATCCGGCCCGATGCTAATCTGATCCGGTCCGATGCTAATCTGATCCGGTCCGATGCTAATCTGGTTCTGCTGCTGTTGTTCTGGATGTTTAGCCCAGATGCTACTTTCTGTTTAGCACAAACTACAGTCATTACATTTGGAGACATTTTCACTGCAAGGTTTTGGCAGAATAAAAACATGGACGGTCTTAGTGTCTTATCGATAACAAGCCACAGATGTGAAAATGGAAAGAGGAAGAGAAAGATCAATAACATCATGAAGCAGTTTATGTTTGTTTTCATATAATTGACTCTGATATTGACCGTAAGTGCTCCTCTCGTTTCACTTCCTGATGATGCATTTCCCTCTGAGCCACGCCCAGCGATCCAAGATGGCGTCCTGCTCAAATCAATGGCTTGTGCTCAGTGGCGCCCCCCATGGCCATCGTGAGATTAGCGGAACTTGCCCTTATTTGGTCATTTCTCTGGATCCAGATGTTATTATAGATCCAGATGTTATTATAGATCCAGATGTTGTTATAGATCCAGATGTTATAGATCCAGATGTTATAGATCCAGATGTTATAGATCCAGAGGTTATAGATCCAGATGTTATAGATCCAGATGTTATAGATCCAGATGTTATAGATCCAGAGGTTATAGATCCAGATGTTATAGATCCAGATGTTATAGATCCAGATGTTATAGATCCAGATGT